TAGCTGCTCCTAGACAGTAAAGGAATGTAACTGTTATTGTTGAAGAGGTAACAGTTTGATCAAACATACTATAATACAGGTAAACATAAAGAAAAAAAAACAGTTTTAGATTTATAGACAACTACGGACCAGATAATGGGACTGTCAGGGGTTTTATAAATACCAGTTTATTGAGAGGTCACTTGTACTTGACCAAAACATCTCAGGAGGAACCTTTAAAATTCCAGATTTTCAGAAATCTGCTTTAGGGAAATTATTTAACAGGATTTAAATTTCTTTGGAAAAGGAAGTAAATTGATTTCATAGTGAGAACAATAGAGATAGCCATTTTGATAAAATGTGTAAAAGCTTTATACTAATCTAGTAGGTTTTCCTTTTATCAGTGTAAGAGTTACCCCCCTTGATCCAGATCAATATTGGAAAACCTTGAGTGACATGCAGCAAACACATATCTCTAATAAATGTCACACATGTTGCTGCATCAGTTCTAATTAAGCTAAGCTACTAGTTGCTGGCAAGAGAAAAAAGAAAAAAAAAAAACTCTGATAAAATAGGAGAATTTTTCCTTATCAGTGAGAAGAACGTGTTGTCCTGTGACATTATTTATAGGTACATGATGTTTCAAAATAAATGTAATACCGACTCATTATTATGATGTAATGATTGAACTTTATTTATTTCGGTCTTTTTGGGGGGTTGGGTGGGGTGCAGTGATCCACTGTGGAAACCTATTGTAAAATATGATATTTATTGATTAACTGTTGTGGGTTATTGTCGGATGTGACGGGTTGAGTCGGGGGGCTGGGAATTCTGTCTGGGCCCGTTTGTTTAGCGACAGCTGGGTGATTAGTCTGACCCTTTCCGGTATTGTTAGCAGTCAGCATCAGAAATTGATTTGTCCCGTTATATTGTTACCTGTCTATTGTTCTCAGGTAAACCATACGTAAATATACCTCCAGCTCTAATTGCAATTTTAATGGGAGGGAGTAAGTTCTGTCGTACTGCCAGATACTGAGGCATTTACCAATATCCATTATTACACATGAAATATTTATACCGTATCAGACTCCATCGCGAGGCATCCCCAATCACCTCATCTATTATTTACCACAGCAATATTATTTCAATTCATGATGAGCTACGCCAATTAATTAAAAGGATTGAGAAGTTATTATCAAGGTCCCTGCCTTGTATCAAATGACTTGATTGCGGCCACTGTCATTATTAAGAGCAATTGATCAATGGTACAAAATTATGACATAAAGATTTTCTATTGTCCCCATTGGCTTTTGTCCCCCTGATGCTTCTCTCCCCAATGCTGCTGGAAAATTCTTAACTTTCTGGTAAAATATTGAATGTGTATTCCCGTCCCTAGTGGAGGGATGAGAGGGTATTGTGTAACAGAGATGTGACATTTCCACCATAAATAAAACCCAACAGGACGCTGCTCCAGAAATTCTCATAATTGATTATCCCAGAGCTAAATCTATTTATTGTTCCTGGCAACTAAAGAAGCAGTATCTATCATTCCAACTGGAAATTTCTGCATTGAAATTTAAATTGCAAATTAGGGGAAGAAAGTTCATTTCCTTCATGGAAAATTATCTTATAGCGATTTCTTTTTGATTCAGTAAAATGTTTATATGGGAGGTAAAACACATGGCTTTCCAATGTAAAAATTAAATTATTTATAGAATTAAGAGTGAAATGGTCTCAGGAACAGGTATATTTAGTGTTGGTTATTTAATGTTAATGACGGGATCAGCTCCCCATTACCTGCATGTTTTGTTGACTGACGATGCGGCTCCTTTGTTTACTGATGGTCGGTCCTGGATCAATGGCTGATCTGAGATGACAGTTAACCCCGCTCACATCTGTTGTATGCGGTCCCCTGTAACAGGTGTCCTGTATAACATCTCATGTGTCCTCAAACAAGCTTCTGAATGCCAACTGAAAAATCAACTATCCTACACCAAGCTGGTTGTTCTCCGTTTAGGAAAGAGGGGGGGGGTCCTTTCAAGCTTGTGAACTGTCCAAGATTCTGTCGTGTGAGCTGTCCCAGATTCCCTTGTGAACTGTCCCAGAGTCTGTATTGAGCTTTCCCAAAGACCCTTGTGAGCTGTCACAGATTCTTTGAACTGTCCCAGAGTCTTTCTTGTGAGTTTTCCCAGCGTCTGTTTCATTCTGAGGGTCTGCCAACCCTCACCAAACTCTGGCCTGCGCCAGAATGAACTGTCAAGGATTACTTCCATCTCAAGATTTGACCCAGGTTTCATCAGCTCATTTACATTTTTATTTCTATAATTTCAGGTTAATTAAAAAGTACTGTGTAATCACCTATATAGATCTAATCTATATTTCTGAGAATTTATTTTTAGTCCCATGGCTTCTGATCCACTGTGTAACTGACATCATCTTTTTTCTAATCTGTCTCCCAGTGCATTTCGGGTTACACAGGTTTCATTGTAATAAAGTTCTATGATATTTATCCCAAATCATAATCAAGGTTGGAGAAAACACTTATTTTTATTAAAAAACAAATCAGACAAAAACTTTTTAGTTGTCTACCACAGGGCATATAGTATATAACATGTAAAATGTAAACATAGCAGTTCTTTACAGAAGTGTTAATCTGCATGTCTCTTATTTGTTCCATTAAACTGAACACCTAATAATTGTTTGTTTCTTTATAGTATTAATTATCTGCCATCACAGCCTTGCCTGTCATAAGACCTCAGGATAACCATGGAAACAGGTGGTACTAATATTAAGTGATACTAAAGTTTTGTTTTGGAAAGTGATAAAATATTTGTTTAACAATAAATTGTGACAACATCTGGAGATTGAGTAAAACATTTCAATGCCAGCCTCCTTGGTTTCTCTTTTTGCCTTGGTCAGTGATGACAGTGGCCATTGATCACTGGAATGGTCAGAACTTCTGTGATGTATCAGATCTCTGGTGATGTATCAGTTTCTCTGATCCTCAGATCTCTGTTCTGTCTTTAGATTTCTATTGTTCTGTTAGAAGTCTATTGGTCTCTTGTCCCCTGACACCCTGACTTTCAGTGTATTTGTCCTTCAGGTCTAACAATCCTCTGACCAGCGCTATTATCTGTGAGGGGACGCTGGCTTCCCAGTCAGACACTCATCAATACAGGTTCATCTCCCCGGGGGATACAGAGGCTGGCCGTGGTGTTTGTGTAAAGAACTCTTTTGTGATAGGGAGAGGGGAGGGATAAAGAACCGATGTGTGGCCAGACTTCTGATGCTCAGGGTTAGAAAAATATTCCTTGTAAACAGAGGCGTAGAGAGTAGCTTCAAAGCTTTATCAGTATGTACAGGGGAGATTCTGTTTGAGAGCATGGAAGTTTTTTTCTGACAGTCTTGGTCAAATCAAAATGTCCATACAAGCAGCTAGATTTGATTCTCTCTTTGAATCCTTGTCAATTCTTGAAAAAATGGCTTCAAATGAGTTTATAACAAAATCATCTGCAAGATACATGTGAAAGTCATTTATCAATAACAAAATTAGAAAAATATTAGGTATAGATCTGACAGAATGGGGATGAATGGCGTAAATTAGACATTACAATGAAGAAAATCATCCTGAATTCTGACACCCAGTAGCGCTAATGTTCTACAAGTCTGGACAGAGACAGAAACCACTGTTGTCCGTTTCATTTTTGATACTTTAAATTTATTTCCAATTAAAAGGAATTGATCTTTTTTCTGTTTTTGTTTGATCTGTGTTGAGTATAAACACAGAGGGTTATTTTCATCAGACGATTGTTTCTGTAAAATTCAAACTCTTCATTGGGCTCTAATTTCACATGAGAGCAGACCAAGCCAATATCCACCAGTAGTCCCACAAAGAATAAAATTCAGGATAAAATTGATCAGCAATCTTTCATAATTATTTTTTTAATACAATAGTTATTGAGAAATGAAAAGTTGTATTGATTTTTTTTTCTAATGACATTTTAATTATTGATTTAGAATTTCAAGTAATTGTCCAATTAATTTTTTTTTTTTTTGGACTTCGAGCAAGTTGTTACACAGCACTTTTGGGGTCAGATGGGCTTGGGTTTTTTTTCTTTACAATAAAAAAAAAATATCTTGGTTTTTATCTGCAAGTTTTGAATCAAAATTGCTATATTTTCAATAGAAAGAGTGGCCTCGCTCTTCTTTAAGGTGGGTTTAACTTGTAACTCAAAACCTGTTCTTAACAAAAATTTAATTGATCCAAGCAATGTATTTTCTGGTGAATTTTTTGGTAAGAGTCGAGGAGATTTAATAATTGGTCGATTGATGACACATATAATTTGTAATGAGTGTAAAGCAGTAATCCTACCCCAGTATGGCCCAGTGTGACAGTGTAGATCTATATACAGAGATATAGCCACATACTACAGCTCTCAGTTATTTCCCATTATTGTATAATTACACCAATTTCAGACTTCACTTTGAGATTGTCAGGTTTTGATTGCAGTGATTGTATCTAAGAGCTACCCCAAGGCCGAATTCCGTGTCCTTACCTCGAGGGCCTTGTTCAGAGAGATATATTCACTGTTAACTTGATGTTCAGCCAGCAATTCAAAATGTCTATTTATATCAGGGTTTTCCTGCCCATTGTAATATTTCCCTGTATAAAAGTTCTACCTTTGTTAATTGACTGAAGCCTAGTCTAATTGATTTTTTAAATTTTATTGGAATAATCAATAGTGTTGAGAACAAAATACTGTGATGAAAGTGACAGAGAGTAATTATTGATCTGAGTAATGAGGATCCCCCTCCCCCACCCCCCACTGACCTCCCTAACTCCCCACGGGACAAACACTCGCTAATATAGAGGCCCGGTATTGATCCTCTGCTTTATGGAGAATTTGTCATAGAGGAACTCAATGTGTCAATATTTGTTTAAATAGAAAGCCTTCAATGTATAAGTGTGGTATGTAGCATTTGATTGGCTGAGGGAGTGTGTACACAAGCCGTAAGAGCTTTTGGCTATTAGGTTGTCATCAGAGAGGAAGCGTGTAGAGCAGTCAGTGTTACAGACTGAAGGAGAACAACATAATGTGTGATTAGTGTGCTGCAGCATGTACGTATGCTATTACACCTACCCAGGAGGATCGCACCACAGCCCCGCCACTGTCGCCCCAGCCCTTACCGCTGCACCGCAGGCCGCCACTATCCCTGTCACTGAACCACTGCTTGTGCCCGCCACCCAGACAGCTCTACCCCCCCAGACAGGAATCCCTACCCTCACCACTCAGTTCCCCATCACAGTCTGCAGAAAGGTAAGGAGGCTGATTTTACCTGTGATATTTACCTAGGTGTGATATTTTTAGTGTCGGTGTAAGAGTGTGGGACCCTTCATTAAAATCTGGGCTGCTTTAGGGGTGTAAGTCCTATTAACACCTTGTGTACACTCTGCCTTGTTTGTTTGAAGTAGTATTTTATTGTCATGGAAATAGATGGATCTCAAAGCAGTACCTGAAGTGAAGTATAAATATTGACCAAGCTGTTTTAATGTGAGTCATTTATACTTTCTAGTAAGCCACCAGGGTCAGCACCAAATTTCAATGCTTGTTTTCATTTCGTCTTACACCCTATAATCTTTCCTTTGGTTTTGATTAACTGCAGAACTAGCTACAATGAAAACAAAGTTTTGTTTTTCTAATTTCTTGAGAATTTCTCTGAACTGGCCAGAGCTTGGCCTTATCTCTCTTTCCCTGAAGTCTAGGCTAATTGTTCAGGTTTAGCTTTGGTTGAGTTTGGGGGGTTAGAATTTTGGAGTTTTACAAGTGTCATAAAATATATCTGGCTGTGTAATCTTGGGGACAGTAAATCCAGGCTTCTCTACCCGTCCAAACAATTCACTGATAACATAACCAATATATTGATCAGGTCAGAGGAATTCAGGGTGAGAAATTGTCTAGGACCTATGGGGGGGGGGGGGGGGGGGCCGACGGGGGGGGTAGGGGCACCTGCTATAAACCAGAACATGACATGTGTTAGAGCAAGAGAATTTGTAAATGTATGTGAATAAAAAGGACACAATAGAAACACAGTTTTTATAGAGCATGGAGGAAGAAAATCGTTAATTTTATTTCCTGAAACAGAAATTTCTCTTTCCTTTGTAGTTACAAACATTTGTAAAAATTGAAAGTCTGAAGGTTTATTTTGATAGAATTGCAGGAATTTTTATCATGACTTTGATGTTCAAAGATTTCCAGATTGCAGTAAGCTAAGAATAGGTGATGAACTTTGGTCAGATATTAAGTTAAAACACGTGTGTTGAATACTTCCAATAACATTTTGATGTACATGTAACATGTCCAGATGAAGTGTTGGTATGTTGGGCGTCAGGTCAATGTAGGAGGATACTGTTAGATGCCAAGACTTAGAGGAGAGTGTGCCATCTACAGCATCAGGTCATAGCTAACCTTGTCTGATGTATTACTACTGACCAGGCAGCTTGTAGAACAAGTTAGCGGGTTTTTCTTGGTTAGGGAGTGATTAGTTAGTATCAGAGATTGAGCCAGATAAACTGTCGCAGTGTTTCCAGAGTACTTATCATCAGGAAACACCATCATCTCTCCTTCCTTGTCCCCCAGGAAATCTCGCCTCAGCGCGACCCCGCAGGAAGTGTGCGGGCCGGATCCAGGAAACTATACAATGGCCCTGACTGTGTTACACACAAACACACATGAATTCCGTCCTGTTCTCTCCGTACTTACCATCACTTGATAATCCTGAGATGAGGGTTAATACTTTGTAAGAGGCCCGTTTTATTGTGTAGTCTCCATGTGACATTGTTGTGATTGTAATAAGTCATGATTACTTACGTGTCATTGTTTTAATAAGATTAAATGTTGCTATAGATCCTGTTTCTCTATCAGTTTAAGTTACATGTCCTCATTTCCTGACTTTGTAAGACTCGGTTTTTATCCATTGTTAGATCACATGTAGTCCATTTCCTGATTAAAGAGATGACACTGTGATCTGATACTCTGCGGGTTAAATGCTGATCTTTAGTCTAAAAAACTTAAATTGTTTTATAAAAACTTATGTTATTAATAAACCAGTATGTCATTTTGTTCCTACTGAGTACAATTTTATAAAATATTCAACTTCAAGGATAAAAAAAATTCAGCAAGTATTCTAATCTAAATTTTATTTGATATTGTAACTGTTTCTGTTTTGAGGTAAAAGTTCAGTAGAAATCCTGTTATATGAGAATGACCAAAGATTTTAACAATCAAGTGACCACACACCAGGCAGATAAAGGGACTTTTATAGATTTTATTTGAAGTTTGCTTTCGGAGATGAACAAACAAAACTGAAATGAGCATTTGTTTGCCATTTTGCTGAACTATTGATGGATAATTGATCTGTGTTTTTAAACAGAGTTAATATTTCAGGGAAATTAGATATCTCTATATTTGGGAAACTCGTATCAAATACCATAAATTGAACAGAAATTTGTATGAGAGTCAGGCTTATTATTTCCTCGGAAAGATAAATGTTGACAAGACGAATTCTTACAAAAGGTAGACGGACCCAACTAGATAATGTAGTCCCCCTAGATGTTTTACCAAAACTCCAATATGTTATTAAAATGTCAATATCACACAAAAAAAGATAACAGACAGCTAGACAAAAAAGGAAATAAATCCATAATCCGGGAACGATTGTGGGTAGTGAAAATAAAATGTGCTCCAAACACCCGTCTAAATGAACAATATGGTTCTATTGACAGTTAATACTCAGTCCATACACAAGCACCACCATTATCAGATAGGGCTAAATAATAATGAATTTACTCAAAGGTAAACATATTAACTTGAAATTTTTAAAATAGTCTCATGAAAAAGTTCACCTGTCTGAAAAAGTATTTTCTTGGGAGAATTAAAATGGAAGATTTGAATGAGAGCTTGAGGGGAGAGCTAGGTTTGTGGAGAGAGAGAGACAATAGAATTCCCCGGCATTTATATACCTAGTGTATGAGAGATTTAGATGAAAGGCTTCTTATTTATAAAACACGTTAACAAGGTGAGAATCTTCTGGGTTCTAGCTGTTGACTTGTTGATTTTTGGGTCATGGAGTAATCGCTAATTTACGGAAGTAAACAGAGACCTGGAAATTAAAACTTCATTTTAGAATAATATCAAACTGCTGGCATTGTCTGATAAAATTCACAGAAAGTTGATCATGAGTGGTAGAACATTTGTACAGCTGATAACGGCTGATAATGGGTCCTCTAATGGATTACCTGCCTGACCCCGGGGGACAGGTATTACCTCACCTGTCTATTGTCTCCACAGTACACCTGGTGTACAATAAATTAACCTGCAGAATTAATTAAAAAATTATAAAGGAGTAGGACTCAAAAGATGTTTAAACTGGCCAGGACAGAAAACAAAGAGCAAGGACTAACAATAGAGGGCTGAGAAAGTGTGAAATTAAAGTATTACACTGTGTACCTGTAGGCCAGGTATTAGATGAAAAAATAAAGAACAGGTAGACAGGGAAATCTCAAAGCTTTTACACCTTGTAGATAGTTTGTTTTTCTAATGAATAGAAATCCCTATTAGGGCATAGAAAACTTATTCGTTTGAGAGAAATTGAAATACTTGGGAGTTTTTTGGTTATTTTTTTAAATCCAGTAATGGGAATTGAATAATCATCTTAACATGGTGGAAAGCTCATTATGAATTTATTTTGTATTTGTTGTTTTTGTTTGATTATCTTTAACACTTACAATACGAACAAAATGATAAATGTAGTACATGTATCTTAAATTGGCATGATCACTGTTTTCTCTTGTGCTGAGTCCTGGGTCCATGTTGATTCTGTATAAAGCTGTTAGATTCTGTGATAAAACTCTCTGGAACATCAGAGAAAAGATATGATAGGCTGTGTTCAGAGAGAGAGTAGATTTGATGATGAATTGATAACTCCTCTAATTGTAGACAAGATGACCTGAAGTGAAATGGCCAACAGGTCAGGACACAGTTCAGATGATTGACAAGTGTGGGGGTATCAATATTTGTCGTATTTTGCAATGATGCTAGGTTGATTTGTGTACTGATGCCATCACAGCTCTTCACATGTCCTCAAACACTCCATTAACCCATATATCGCCTTACACCCTGTGTCTAAATAAGTCGCGATCTCTATAAGAGGCGTGAGGCGGTATTTAAATTTTGGAGGATCCTGGGTACACAAGATATTGATTGATCGGAGTGAAAATTTATCTTTGTAAAGTAAAAACGGGTCTGTGGGATTATGAGTGTTTGAACAAGGCCGGTCGCCACGGTATCAGAGACGTGTTTTGAGGAAATTGGTTTTGTGTGGATTTCATGTACTCTACCCCAGGGGGGCGAGCTGGCATCAGATAGCAGGGGTCAGGGACGATGTCTGATCTCAATCTTACTCTGTCCCTGTCATGAATTAAACCAGCCATGTCCAAATGTCTGTCCTTTATTAAAAGTAATATCACCTTGTAAGGGGGGTAACTCTTACTCACTTGCACTTCTCAGATTCTGTCTATTTTCGTGTCGCACATTGGATGTTAAATGAATTGAAAAATAGAAATAAAAAACCTGATCATGTTATACATAGACGTAGGTGTCACTAATACGGTTAAAAAACCACTACACATTTCCTTTTGTGTTTAAATATCATATCTGGGTACATGCTTATCCTATTACAGAGTTGAGCAATCGCTATAATGTAGTGAAATACACACATTCAGTGGACTAAGAATTAGGGATATCAATCAGGTCATAAAAGCTGGCCGCTATTGTTGTATAATAAGTAAATATGTAAGAGGGTTTAGTGTGTGTGTAAATCCATAAGATTAACATAGTGTTATTTGTTGAAGCCAATGCATTAATTAACAAGATCACCTCCGACACATTATCTATTAAATGCTCCAACATCTCGAGCTCTGATACCCGATCTAATGGCACCCGATTTCTGAAGAGATACAAGTAGATTCGTGCCTTCTGATATTGCGAAACTGAGAGGGAGTGAGGCTTTGTTGGTAACAACGCGACAATATTATTGGATTGGCACGGCTGAGCTGGCAGTGTTATACCTTCCATTATTTGTCAATGGTTGACTGCCTTCCTGTGTGTGTGTATTGAGTGGGCCTTCTCTCTCTCTCCTGACTTCTCTCTCTGGATCTCTCTGCTTTCTGTCTCTTAAGGTAAGTCACGGGTGCACGGGGTGGGGTGGGGACACTAGCTCACTGAGGGGGGAGGGTGTCAGGGGCGGGGGTGAATGGGAGGATCTGATCATGTGACGGTGTCTCCTGTCCACTTTCATTTTTGGTCACACCTCACAAGATCTGGGATCCATTCCTGTTATAGGTTAGATCCCCATGGTGTAAATTGTGAGGTGTGAGAAGCACTTTAAATTATCTGTTTGATTTCTGCAGTAAATGAATGTAGAATTCTACCGGGCTTGTGATACAGGTCTCGAGAACAACTCTAAATTACAGTGATTAGGATGTTTAGAATGAAATGTCAGCACCCATTGCCTGCCGTTCTGATAAAGCTTTATGGAGGATGGAATTCACCATCAATTGTTTAAGTCAATTACCTCAGATCAATGGCCTGTTTTGTGAAGCGGAATCGATGTGGAGTGAATATTGTCACACAAGCTGTGACCGTCCCTTTAGTCACATTTATAAAAAGATAGTTACATTGTCCCAACTCCTTATCTCTGTTGCCAAAGATAGAGAGGTCTCCCGGGAAGTGACCTTGGAATACTGTCAAGGACACTCTTTATGCTCAATGTCATTCTCTGTAGAGAGTTTCAAGAAGTCAAAAACTGATAAAGGGTTGAAATATTGAACTGTAGCTATGATGTAGCAAATCTTGGAGTAAGTTATATGCTCTGTATCCATATTGTGGTTGGTTTCATTGTGGAAGTTTGGGATGATTGTGAGTTAATAAGAGTTAAGTGTTGAATTTTGCTTTTACTGTTTTATGCTTAATAAGCATGTTACTGAGAGTGTTGGATGAAAATTTGAGTGAAGAAAGATTGCAGTATAAGAGAGAGAGAAAGAGTAATGTGGGTAGTATGATTTTAGTCATTTTTGATATTAGTGAGTTCGTGATTGACCTTTGGTCTTTTCTTTTTTGTTACAGAGAACATCTGACGACCTGATGTCACAGTCACCCATGGTAACCAATGGGACGAGCCCCCCTCACCTATCAGGCTCCGACAATGACGCAAAAAAGGTAAGCTGTCAAGTCCCCCTTACCTGTCAGGTAAAAAAGATACCCCCCCCCCATTATTAGGTTCCAACATTAACCCCTTTTTTTATAAGGCTCCAACAGTGATTGCAAAAACAAGCTCTGTATCACTGTATGGTTAGCCTGGTAGAATCTGCTGAATGAAAATCAGAAATCAGGATGGTATTATACATATACGTATATATTGTATGTGTTGGAGTAGGGAACTTGGTGTTCCATCTCATGTTGAACCAGTAGATATTCTGACGAGTGTGTTATTGGATACATGTATAGTATATATGTAGTTTTTCTTTGCTGATTGAGCTTAATATCATTGATTTCATCGTGGCATTGTATTAGCCAGCATTGATGAACAGAACAGCAGGCTACATGTGTATGATCTTCCTTTGAAAAGAGAATCAAACATTGACAATGTTGATTATTGACTTGCCATAAATGATATCACGTTTGCTGGGACCTAAATGATTTATTGGGGACTTCATTTGTGAATTGAGTGTCATATAGGAAGAAAAAAAAGATAAATGATTAAAATATTGATTGTGAAAGATGAGTGAAAAACAGCAGGCAGACGAAAAATCCATAGGCGATTCTGAAGGTGAGGGTTAGGCAGGCGAACAGAGTGACACCTGGAATTTCCTGCATTCCCCGGTCGTGGAGTGAAATATTTATATCAGATGTTAAAGCCAATCAATAGCTAGACAGGACTGAGATCAATACTGTCACAGTCTCGGTTTCTATGACACTGGGCTATCTCCCCCTGAGTCCCCAGTCCCGGTCATTGCCATGGTCACCAGACCTCGGGGGTCCCCCTAGACCAGTCTGACCGGGCCGTCCTTGTAATGTGCGTGTAATCCGCGTTGATCAACACACGATCATAATAACCCCTTCAGGCATTCGTATAAGAGCATTTAAAGGGAGTGAATTTAAATATTATTGCATTGTAAATGGCACATACACAAAGGGTGGAGGGTTTAGCGTAAATTTTAATTATAAAGTTAGCGGAGAGTCATGACGACTGGGATCACACTCGACAAGTGACCGAGCCAGTCATCCGAAAACTTAAAACCACTGCCAAAATATAATTGCTTTTTTTCTATCCATTTAAGACCTGTTTACTTTTCTTTACATTAATGCAGCTGATCCCACTAGCAGTTATTTATGAATGTCCTGGAATAACTTCCATAAGTGCTATGATGTACTCTTGTTCAATGACTGAACTCAGTTTTAAGGCAAAATAAAAACAGTTTAAGGCTGATTCAATACGTGAACAGACACAAAAGGAAAATTTGATTACATTTAAAATTTTAATTAAGGGTGGTTGTTTATTCTGAGAAAAGGGAAGGCATTAAAAGTAAAAGAGTGCCACGTAGATTGATATGGATTACTGAACATATTAATGGTTTGGATCAATTACTTCAAAAATGACATTCAATTTCTGTCCTTACTACTAGATGGGGGTAAACTCTGTTCTGACATGTATTTAACTGTTGCTTCTGATCACAGATACATAGTCCTATAATATCAGATTACTCTAATATCTGAAATTGCATATTTAATGTACCATACACACACTGAACTACACAGCATTCAGATGAGGCATTTAGAAATTCATTTGATATATTGGCAAAAACTGTTGATTTAATAATTGTAATGGTAATTCTTTATTTATGGTAACTTGATGACTGTGTGGCACTAGTCATCCTTAAGGCCCTCTACTACACATGATTCTGGACACGATTCTCGATCCATTGAGATAAATAAATGAAGTGTAATAGGAGAACATGATAATTTCAGTTCTTTATTCATCACACAAAGGCACATGAAAACAAAAAGGGGCTGAAGCTATTCTATTTATAAAAACAGGCTATTCTAGTCATATAATCATGGTTTTTTTGTCTTGTATAGGTAAAATGTATGCTGGTAGATATGGTATTTTCTCATGTTGTCCTAGAATTGGTTCATATGATATGCCAAAACAGAATATACTTATATCTAATCAGTGAAAAGCTGGCCAACAGTGAATGTATGGCTAGTGAATGATTCTTCTCACTTCTTACTTTAAAGGGGAAAAACTACCTGTAAATCTCTGTGATGTTTTAAAAATCTATTGTATAGTTGTACATGTATAAGCACATGCTTTTAGTATTGACCTTCAGTAGTAAATACTTGTCAATATTTTAACAGGTAAAACTGGAACAGAATTCGGCCAATGGTCCGTCCCGAGTCGTCCACATTCGGAGTTTACCTCCGGACTGTACAGAGGCTGACGTCGTCCAGCTGGGAATGCCGTACGGAAAAATGTCCAACGTCTTACTGCTCAAACAGAAAAATCAGGTACGATATAAAAATGTCCAATGTCCTACTGCTCAAACAGAAAAACCAGGTACGATATAAAAATGTCCAACGTCTTACTGCTCAAACAGAAAAACCAGGTACGATATAAAAATGTCCAATGTCCTACTGCTCAAACAGAAAAATCAGGTAAGTTCTACAGAAATTTAGTAAGACCTGTAATTAAATTACGACATTTAAAATAAGCATCTCGTTCTTAATAAAGCAGGTTTATTTGTGGTCATTAAATACTTAAACATTAGAAATGTAACACTGTTAGTGTAAGATAACTGCAGGTGTATTTTAATAGCGTACATTGTACATACAGTATTGTAGTTTAATCAAGAATTTCTGTAAATTAAAGATCTGCGTGTAATTTTGTTTGTTACTAGTATCAAATGCTTGCTCTCTGAAATGTGATTTAGTTCTTAAACTATATAGTTAGGCCTCTGTAATGGTTGTGCTGTTGGGTACGCCCCTTTTACCACTTTATGTTTGTTTTTCAGGCTTTCCTGGAGTTTTTAGACGAGCAGGCTGCCGTGACAATGGTCAGCTTTCATCAACAGAACCCTGCTCAGATCCGAATGAAACCTGTCTATGTGCAATTCTCTAATCATAAGGAGCTCAAAACAGATCAAGCTCATTCATTTCAAGTGTGTACACTCTTCTTTTATGTTGATTTTGAGTTTGTTCAAACTTTCCTTAAAGCTCTAAAATTTTACCCTTAAACAAAACCTTAGATATGGAAAGCCAATCTTTAGGCTTTTATAATAATCAAACTGTAAAAAAGTGACCAAGTTGACATTTGATCTTTATTTTTACAAGTGTTATATTGATTTTTAGCTCACCTCAACGAAGTTGGGGGAGCTTATGTAATACCCTCGGCGTCGGCGTCGGTGTCGGCGTATAAAAATGTCGGCGTCCCGGGTTAAGGTTAAGTTTTTTGGAGCAGTTTTCTTTTTAAGTACTTCTATGTCCTATATTGATTAGACATGCATGGAAGATGGTTCTAGTGTGTTTCATTGTACCAGTCAAAGTTTCAGATGCTGCAATTTTAGCAAAGAAATGACCAGGTTAATGTTTTTGGAGCAGGTTAACATTTTTGGTGCAGTTTTTGGTGTAGGTTTCATTTCCAAGTAACTATAAGCCCTATGTTAACCAAACTTGCATGGATGATACATCTAAGGATGCATACTACCGGGCTTGCTTCGGATGCTGAATCTGACCTACTTTTTCCGGTTGAGTGAACAGGTTAAAGTTTTTTGGTGTAGGTTTCATTTCCAAGTATCTGTAAGTCCTATGTTGACCAAACTTGCATGGATGATACATCTAAGGATGGATACAACCAGGCTTGCTTCGGATGCTGAATCTGACCTACATTTTCCGTTTGAGTGAACAGGTTAAAGTTTTTGGTGCAGGTTTCATTTCTAAGTATCTGTAAGTCCTATGTTGACCAAACTTGCATGGATGATACATCTAAGGATGGATACTACCAGGCTTGCTTCGGATGCTGAATCTGACCTACTTTTTACGGTTGAGTGAACAGGTTATAGTTTTTGGTGCAGGTTTCATTTCCAAGTAACTATGAGTTCTTTAATGACCAATCTTCCATGGATGATACATCTAAGGATGGATACTGCCGGGCTTGCTTCGGATGCTGAATCTGACCTACATTTTCCAGTTGAGTGAACAAGTAAAAGTTTTTGGTGCAGGTTTCATTTCCAAGTAACTATGAGTTCTTTAATGACCAATCTTGCATGGATGATACATCTTAGGATGCATACTACCAGGCTTGCTTCGGATGCTGAATCTGACCTACATTTTGTGGATGAGTGAAAATGTTAGTTTTTGATGTATGTTTCATTTCCAATTAACTATGAGCCTTATAATGTGCAAACTTGCATGGACGATACATCTTAGGATGCACACTAATGGACTTGCTTCGGATGCTGAATTCGACATATATATTTTTCAGATAAGGCCAGCATTTTTTTATTTTTAGGTTTACAAACCCGCCGCTCAAGTTTTTGAATTTTCAGAAAAAAAATAAAATTGAGAAAAACAGAATTTTTTCTTTCCGATGTCAAATTTGAGTCGGGATCGAAATTTCAAATTTACGAACTCGTACTTCCGGTCTTAAATGCATGATGGCGGGTAATGAAGGTAGATTTGTAAAGTCCATAGCAGCACTAAAACTTGGTTTAATGTAAATATTTATCGATAGGAGTGGCATTCAAAACGTTTCACCAGTTTAGAAAACAAATACAATGCTGACGACTTTGTTGCACGATGACATTTTGGTGAGTTAATTTATTAATTATGTATCCATATTCAGAAGTATCTGTCATCTGTCTCTAATTTATTTTCCTCCCACAGATTGAAAACTGCCCATGGTATCTATTGTCAGAAACATTGTTTAGGTCTCTGTTACAGCTTACAGTCTTGTATCATTCTTCAGAAAAGGGTCGCTTATGCATCAGATGTAATGACTAAAACTATGGGAGAAGTTAAGCCCATTTGAGGAAGAAATAAACAATAGCCTAAAGAAATAAAATATTTCAACTATTTTAAAAAATAAAGAAGTATATACACATATATTCAGGCATGTAGTGTCATTTGTGTTTAATAGCCAGAAAAATTATTTTACACTTGATTGAAAAAAAAAAAAATTCTATCCTACTCCCCAATACTCCCTGTATGTTTTATGAAAGGAGTTATTACTTTAGGTCTAAAGTATATTTTAGAAAAATTTCAACACATTAACCTAACACTTATTAAAAACAAAAATGAAGATATATTATGAAAGAGTTTTAAAAAATGATTTTTTTAAAAATCTGTATTTTGTCCAACATCACAAGATTTATATCACTGGTCCCAACTGGTAGATGATGAAATAAACAATTAAAGGTTTTATTTTCCCCTTTGTAACCCTTATGTGTCCAGTGGCAAGGAGCCTGTTAGGAGAGCATTAAAAAAGAAGCAAAAATTAATGTAGACAAGAGGCCCAAGGGCCACATCGCTCACCTGAGCACATCTACTAGGAAAAAGCACATATCAGATCAAAACTGAAAGTTTACTGGGGGGGGGGGGGGGGGGGCTTGAATTTTAACCCTCCTGGGTGTCATGATTTGAACAATGTACAATCTACACTACCTGAGGATGATTCCATATAAATAGAAAAATATCACTAATCATGGCTTTGAAGTACTTGAAAAGAAGATTTTGAAAGGTTTCCCTATATATCCTTATGTACAACTTTGGTCAGCCATTTTGGGCCCAAAACTAGCCCCAGAGGTCATGATTTGAACAAGCTTGAATCTTCACTAACTGAGGATGATTCCACATAAGTTTCGTCTTTCCTGGCCCAAAGGTTCTTGAGAAAAAGATTTTTAAAAAATTTTTTCTATACATTCCTATGTAAAACTTTGGTCAGCCATTTTGGCCCCACCCTAGCCCCAGGGGTCATGATTTGAACAAACTTGAATCTACACTACCTGAGGATAATTTCATTGAACAAGCTTGAATCTTCACTAACTGAGGATGATTCCACATAAGTTTCGTCTTTCCTGGCCCAAAGGTTCTTGAGAAGAAGATTTTTAAAAAATTTTTTCTATACATTCCTATGTAAAACTTTGGTCAGCCATTTTGGCCCCACCCTAGCCCCAGGGGTCATGATTTGAACAAACTTGAATCTACACTACCTGAGGATAATTTCATTTATTTTCATATTTCCTTTCTCAATGATTCTTAAGAAGAAGATTTTTAAAAGATTTTTCTTATATATTCCTATGTAAAACTTTGGTTGGCCATTTTGGCCCCACCCTAGCCCCGGGGGTCATGATTTGACCAAACTTGAATCTACACTACCTGAGGATGATTCCACATGAGTTTCATTTTTCCAATTCGAGTGGTTCTTGAGGAGAAGATTTTTAAAAGATTTTTCCTATATATTCCTATGTAAAACTTTGGTCGGCCATTTTGGCCCCACCCTAGCCCCAGGGGTCATGATTTGAACAAACTTGAATCTACACTACCTGAGGATGATTCTTCATGAGTTTCATTTTTCCTGGCCCAGTGGTTCTTAAGAAGAAGATTTTTAAAGAATTTTCCTATATATTCCTATGTAAAACTTTGGTCGACCATTTTGGCCCCACCCTAGCCCCGGGGGTCATGATTTGAACAAACTTGAATCTACACTACCTGAGGATGATTCCACATGAGTTTCATCTTTCCTGGCCCAGTGGTTCTTGAGAAGAAGATTTTTTTAAAATGCTATTAATTTTTCACTAATTCATAATTATCTCCCCTTGGAAGAGGGCGTGGCCCTTCATTTGAACAATCTTGAATCCCCTTCACCCTGGGATACTTTGTGCCAAGTTTGGTTGAAATTGGCCCTGTGGTTCTTGAGAAGAAGATGAAAATGTGAAAAGTTTACGACAACGACAACAACGCCAACGACAACGACAGACGACGGACAAATTTTGATCAGAAAAGCTCACTTGAGCCTTCGGCTCAGGTGAGCTAAAAAGTCGATAATGTATCCAAAAAATAATTTTATTTTTATTTTTATTTCCTCCTCCTACGGGACTTTTTCCTTCTGATGTTCGTAAACCTAAAAATTAAAAAATGCTGGCCTAATAGACCAGGTTAAAGTTATGGTTGCAGGTCTATTACCAAAAAACTTTAAGGCTTTTATAACATTGTATAAACCAAACTTGCACAAATGTTGCATCAAGAGATGAAAACTCAAATTTGCTTTAGATGTTGAATTACATTTTCATGAAGAAGAACTACTTTAAATTTTTTATGTTGGTCTACTTCAAAGTATCAGATCAAAATTGCTAAGATATTTTCATTTTTGGAATGTACATTTTTTGTTGGTTAATTGTGTGACTTTGCCTTATTTAAAGACAACATTCGTTGAGGTGAGCTCTGTAATCTCTGATTACCTATGTTTCATCTGTGGGAAAACATATCAAGGAATTGGACCCCATTTTATTTGTGTTACAGCTATTGAACATCATCTGTTACAGCCACTGTAATTTACTGTTATCTGTTACAGAATGCGACAGCCCAGGCAGCTCTCCAGGCGGCGTCCGCGGTGATGGGGGGCCCAGCAGAGGAGGGACAGAAACGCACTACGCTCAGAATCATTGTAGAACACCTTGTTTACCCGGTGGGGATAGAGGTTTTATACCAGGTTAGTGTCTAAACTTAGCCAACAGGCAAGGGAGGGGGGGGGATAGAAGTTTTATACCAGGTCACCGGTAGGGATAGAGGTCTTATACCAGGTCAGTGTCAAACATCTACCCACAGGCAGGGGAGGGGGGATAGAGGGGAGGGGAGGGGTGGGGATAGAGGTTTTATACCAGGTCAGTGTCAAACATCCACCCACAGGGGGAGGGGTGGGGATAGAGGTTTTATACCAGGTCAGCGTCAAACATCCACCCACAGGGGGAGGGGTGGAGATAGAGGTTTTATACATGTCTGTGTTAAAACATCCACCCACAGGCTAGGGAAGGGCAGAGATAGAGGTTCTATAAATGTCCCTTTCAAAAAGTCTAACCATAGGGAGGCAAGGGGTTTTCCACATCCTAATTTTATCTACAAATCTAACCCAATACAATTTTTTTCTAAGCTTTTTCCTTACAATTTTTGTTTATCTTTTTTGGCAGATCTTCTCAAAGTTTGGCAAGGTTTTAAAGATGATCATTTTCACCAAAAACAGTAAGTAACAGGAGACAAATCTTTAAAAATATTGATATGAATTTCAATCAGAGGTACATATGATGCATTAATTGATTATTCTGTGTGACAGATTCATTCCAAGCACTGATTCAGATGTCAGATCCTGTGGCAGCAAACGCAGCAAAACTGGTAAGTCACGCAGCCTGAATTACAACCAGATGTCATGTCTGTTTGATACTCTGAAGGTCATCTGAAGGTCATTATGATGCTTTGTTTTCTCAGTCTCTGGACGGACAGAACATTTACAATGGCTGCTGTACTTTACGGATTGACTACTCCAAACTTAACAATCTCAACGTCAAATACAACAATGACAAAAGTCGAGACTTCACGAATCCGAACCTTCCGAGTGGGGACCCAGGGTTAGATCAGGCCATGCCGTTCGGAGGTAAGTCAGTCCCCGTATCTATAAAGTTCCCCTGTGTTTAGTATAACTCTGTACACATTGTATAGAATCTTGACCTGTTCAGTGTTTGACCCCTAGATGTCAAGGTCACTTCTTCCAAGGAGAAGAGTAAGTAGATTGTTGATCTCTGGATCCACTAGTTGCCAGTTTGTTGTTTACTTTAAGTCATGTTAAATATCAGTTAGATATTTTCTTTATGTATTTTGCCTTGACACCAGTTTATTCATTTATACAAAGTTTATATTGTACATATTCAGAATCTTTTGCAATTAACACTGAAGTTGGAGCTTATCAGTTTGTGAATTCATTATACTAATTATTATGAACATTGTATACTGGTCTAACATTTAATTTTTGTGCATATTTTCACATTCTTTTAAATGACAATAAAAAGATTGATTTTGTAAATAAAGACAATATTATATAAATTGTGAACTGAGAATGTGATAAGATGCTGCTATATTGTGCAGTGATGTTAAATAATCAGGTTCTCTGTGAAGGTCACCATGAGGTGAAGGTCACGGAGGGCCTGGAGAAGTAATCTATTTATATCATTGTATCTGTAGTTCACTACCCGTTCCCCCCTCACACCCATGGCTAGAAAACACCATCACAACAAAACACCCTCACACTGAAAAAAGTGTCCAGACTCTATAAATAGTCATAAACAAAGCATATTAAAAGAAATCCCATCATTTTGAGATTTTTTTTAGAAAAAAGAGATTATAATTTTATTTTAAAAAATTCTGAAAGCATCATGTCCTTTTGTAATATTTCATTAAACACGGCACACTTGTTTGAATTCAACACATCACTTGTTTTTTTGGCACTTTATTTATTTACATTAAAGAATTGGAAATGTAGGATATAGTGCAGTCTTTACACTGATTTTTTGGAATTTGATTTTGCCCTTGTGATTACGGACCCCCGCCCGTTGTAGACAGATCACCATTTTGTCTGTGTAGTTAGGTATCATGTCAGCTTTGGTGAATCGCTTTATGCTTTGTCTGTAGCCAGTTATAATGTAGTAATAATGGCATGTGTTTGGAAGGTTCAGGAAGCCTGGTGACGTCGGTGGTTCCGGGGATGGGAGCGGCCCCACTAACGGCGTACGGCGCCACCGCCAATATGGTGGGCGGGACACCTGTATATGGTACTAGTCACTTATCACTAACTTTTATCCTCCATCTGTTTACCTCCTGTTACCCTACTGTCACGCTGCGCTTAAACACTGTTAGCTGTCTAACCAACATCTAATAAACAGACAGACGGACAGTTACAGCTGACTAGCCAACATCTAACAGACAGAGAGACTGACATTTACACTTTTAGCTGTCTAACCAACATTTAACAGACAGACAGACATTGACACTGTTGACATTTAACCAAAAGACAGAGGAACATTTCCACTGTCAGCTGTCTAACCAATACCTTACAGATGGACAAACAGACATGTCAACTGTCTAATCAACATTTAACAGACAGACAGACATTTACAATGTCAGTTGTCTCATCAGTTAAACAATTGTAGACTTCTACACTGTCTTATCATTAGTTAGACCAACAGATAGACAAACAGACAAACCTACAAGACTTTGCTCTTCACAACCTGGTGACTACAAGACTTTCTGATATTTGACTAAAATAAACAAGCAGATTGTTAAGTTTTGTTTGTGTTACTAACTTATCAAGGACGAAAACAAAATCTCAGGGAAGTGAGTTGTCGTTTGAGCAATCAGATAAGAACTAAAGAAGTTCTGCTGTTCTACACTGATGACCAGTAAAAATTGAGAAAAAATGTTCTGATTGATGAGAAATCTTTATGCTAAAAAGGAAATAGACATTTAGGGACCGGTGTGACAGTGTCCTGGAAATTGAAACTAGACCTGGTGCAGTAAACGAACTGTAGACCTAATATGTGATTGACCAGAGAAACTGACTGAAGCTGCATGTTTTCTGTGTGTATGTAACAGCACTCCAGCACTTAAACTTCCCTGTCAATCAGTCTGGTATTGGGGGTTTTGATTGGTCAATTGACGTAAAGTGGGTGGAGACTGAGTAATGATTGACAGGGAGGAGACGTGTGTCTCTGCTTGGCATGAGAATTTTCTGTCCTCCTGACTTTCTGCTCTGACTTTCTTTTTCTTTCCTCTTTTAGCAAGTAACTTCAACAGAGAAAATTCAGGTGAGTAGCTCCTCTTCTTCAAAGGTCGTGACCCCTGGAATGCTTGAAGGTCATGACTTCTAGATGTGAAAGGTCAGCTGCCATTTTAACAATATGCCTAAACTGTGTTTGTGAATGGTATAGGGAAATGAGTAACTTTGTAAGATATAAGATTTTTGTTTTGAATTGACAACACTGGCTAGTTCATTTATGAATGTCTTCCCTGTGAATTTTATATTTGTATGCATAATCAGTGTATCATATATCATGTTTTAGCTTAAAGATATGTATGCTTTCAGAGTATGCTAGAATAAATACTATAATTTAAATGAGAAAGCCATGTTGTTTACCCTGATAGGAAAACATAAGGAATATTTACTACCAAAAAAGAAAGAAAATAATGCATGGCCATTACAGGAATTCTTTTTATAATTTACTCATTAGATGAAAAACTAAATGATAGAATTCAGCTTTTAGGTTTAAAAAAGGATTAATGTTATAAGTAACTACCGGTATTTTATTTTATGATGCATAAGTTGTCTTCATTTTGAGGAGTAATGGAGAGAAAATCTACGGCTAATTTATAGGACTTTGTGTTTGTGATGGTTGCTGAGTACTTTGTCTGATGCTTGTTTTGTTTCACTAATCTTTTCTATTCAACAATATTTCCTTCTAATCTAAGTTTTTATTTTAATTAAATCAAAATTCATAAGCCTAATTAAGTTAATGTATTTGATTCAGTTGCATGTCATTGAGTGATTATCGAAGGCTTATTATCCCTAATCTTTGCTAGCTACTGTTGACAGACAATTTTCCTTTACAGCTCAAGTACCCCAGATGTCTAACTACGGTGTGCCGAGTGCTATGGGCGCCGCGCGGTTGATGACCTTGAATGCTGCGGCAGCAGGAAATGCGGTGCTACTAGTCTCCAATCTGGATGAACAGGTCAGTGGTCAAACTGTGGCTAGGACGCGCAGCTGACCAGCTAACACTACAGCTCCCAGTGGCTAACCAATGGCAGTAAGGGTCGGAATGATTCGACCTAGTAAAGTCGACTGCCACATGGTTAGCTACTGCTGACTTATCCTGGGGGTGGTCACCAGTTAATGGACCACCAGCCAGCCAGGGTCTGTGTAATTAGCTGGTTAACTGCTTTAGTTGTCTACTCTAGTTTTTTTTGTAAAGAACTCTGCTAATCATCTATGAGATCCTGCCAAATTTTCTAGTCTGGCGCTAATTGCCTCCCTTGGATTGGTGTATGATTATGGTTACGATGCATTGAGCGTGTTCTGCTCAGTAATATGCTTAACTATCCCACAAAAAGATTTTGAAGCAATTCTACATCACTTGGAAGTGTTGATTAAATGCATTACAACAAAAGAACCCAAAAAAGAGATGAAAGTTTGATTTGATTAAGTGATGAGTTTGATTGTGATGTCTATGCCCCCCGTCCCCGAGCTTCGTAATCACCAGTGCTTACCTTCATGTGAGGCATGCTTATTTGGCTCTACAGTCGCTTTCACCATTCTAAGCTATTCAGTCATTATAATCTTTTATTATTTTTTTTCTGCTATCTTGGTAGACTTGAGTTTAGATTTTATTCAGATCAGTGTATATATTCTTTATTCACTTTTTTACAGAATATTACCTCTTGCTTACCACAGCTGAACAAAAATCTAACCATTTTTCAGACATTCACAATTCAAGGGGTAAACTTATACTAGGTTTAGACTTATAATAGGGGTAGACTTATATTATAAGAAATTCATTAAAATTAGAAAACATAACAGAAGGGAGGAAACTTTTTTAATTTCAACTTTAAACAGATATTGATAGCATCAGAATAAATCACCTGAATATCAGAAAAAAATTAATGTGAATTATTTTGCTTTGAGGGGACTTTAAAAAATAGCATTAACAACAAAGCAAACCAAAACAAAATTAAAAATAAAAAGCAGAACATCAGACTAAAAAAAGGAGATAGGGCTGGGGGAAGATTAAGTACTGTAAGACGACTGAATAGCTTATACTTAGGAATTAATAGCATGAATTAAATGGGCATGTTTATTATATATAGACTAATGTAGCACACAGCTATAGAGGCTAGGAATTAATCACAAACACTAAATTATTGATGTCTTTTTTTTATTCCCATACTCTGCTGGTGTACTACACGTGGACTTTTTCTCCTCGGATTCTTGGTTTCGCTCTGCTAACTTCCTGTTTCTAGAAGGTTACGCCCGACGCTCTCTTTACCCTTTTTGGTACGTTTGTATTTTAAAGCACTTCTGTTTTATTTAGTCTGTTTCTGTGTATCGTAGTATTACCTGTATATAGATGGAAATTTTATCAGAAGCACGAGATTGATATTTTGCTGTAAAACAACTTTTATTCGCGACGACTTTATTTCGCGATTAACCAGAGGGTAAACTAGTTCGCGACGATTAATTTTCGCGATCAAGCCTTTTTGGATCAATTGTTTGTAGGCACCGAGACCTTAAGAATCGGTTCGAAGCGAGAAATATTCGCGATGACGAGGCTGTCGCGAAATTCGCGAGAATTTCTCGCACGCGAATAAAAGTTGGTTTACCTCTGCCGTTGACGTCTTGTATACTTTGTATAGGGGTGTATGGTGATGTGCACAGAGTAAAAATTCTGTTCAACAAGAAAGACAACGCCTTGGTGCAAATGGCTGAACCCCATCAGGCACAGCTAGGTAGGTACCAAATAACAGAGGATACCGTGTAATAGGGTATAATGTTACGGATGCTTCTGAATTTCCTGAAGTAAATCACTGCATTCTGTTCATAGATTTCGCTTCTATAAGTATTTAAATTTTTTCCTTGTTTTTTAACTGGTCTAATTTATTACTTATCTCTGAAACAAATTGGTTTAAAAGTTTCCTATGACCTAGCATGTTAACATTTCAGCTTTAAATCTTGTTCCTTCTCAAAATAACTAATATAAACACAAATAGAAGGACATATTTTACAATTAATAAGAAATCTAAACACGATTTTGATGGAATAATTGATTATTGAGAAGTATGTAAATACTGTTGCTCAAATTAGATGATTCAGACATTTCCTGTATTACCAAACATCGTCCAGTTATGAGGATTTCTTGACTATTTCAGCGATTGCTCACTTAGATAAGGTGAAGGTTTGGGGTAAGAGTATTCGTGTGACGCAGTCCAAACACACACTGGTTCAGATGCCTAAGGAGGGACAACCAGTAAGTTTCCAGATCAACACTGTAAACTAATCCTCAATTATTTAGGTTCCTAGATCATCACAGGGCTTTAAATCAAATTTCTATCAATTGATTTAAGTTTCCAGATCAGAATATCACTGTAAATTAATTCCCCCTCATTCCATAACATGTAGATCTCATTGGAATGTTTAGGAGACATTTTCTTCAGAAGATTGTCAGTCCCAATTTTTTTCTTTCCTTCAAAATGTAGAAAATAAATTAACTTGTTCAGAGTGACAAACTTATACTTTTTTCTGTTATTTGTGTCACACACATGGAAATTTGGTTTACATGGCTTTAAAACAGCAGATAAAAGTCAACTGCTGTATTTTAACACTAATTTTGAAATAATAGTTACATTTGATCTTAGCCCTCAAAATCTGTTCCTATCTAACTATCTCTTATATAATGCACAGGATGCAGGTCTAACAAAGGACTTCACCAATTCACCTCTCCATCGCTTTAAGCGACCGGGATCCAAAAACTGTCAGAACATCTTCCCTCCTTCAGCAGTGCTGCATTTATCCAACATTCCGTAAGTAACCAATCAATACATTTCTTAATGTGTCCTATCACTGCATTATCCAGCATATGTGAAAGTATCAACAAAGTTTGCTGTATTTTTATCATATATTTGTTTGTTTATCCATAACCTTAGTTTAAAGTTTTGACAAAAATGATTATTCTGTAAAGATGTTATAATTTGCAATATCAGCAATATGAATTTTGCTACATGAAGTGACCTTTATGTTGATTGGTTGATATTCTCATATCATAATTTGATTGGTTATTATCAGACCTTGATTTTGATTGGTTGTTATTTTTAGACCCAACATAGAGGAAGATTTCATCACAGATGCCTTCTCACAGCACGGCCAAGTCAAGGCATTTAAATTTTTCCCGTGAGTATTGCTAAGGCCATATAAAACTGAAATCTTGGTTCTCAGGCCCGCGCGCATCCATTTTGAGGTAGCCGCATTGCCGATTTTATTGTATTTTTGATAAAATAAAAAGTTGGTATCGCGGAGACCAATCCGGGGAAAAAAATTCCGACCTCATTTGTTTCGTAGTTTAGTATTCAAATATCACTTCCGGTAGCCATTTACAATGAGATTTTGGCTACTTCGTTTGAAAATACATTCGAGGACATTAGATTACCTATGATGTTTACACGCTGTTAAGCAATGGATAAAGCAGAAATTTTGACCAGAAATGGAAAGTATATCTGTGATTAAAAAAAATTATCTTTATGTTAAAGAAAAATCGGAAATTAAAATTAAAAAAAATACCTCCCTCATCTACTTTATTGCCAATAAAATGAAAAATAAAATGCCGCCCTCCCGCATTTGTTTTGGAGAAAATTGGCCTGAAAACCAGGGAATTAAATTTAGATAGCCTAAGATTTTTCAAAAATTTGCATGTGTACAAATGTATAATTTTAATCAAATTTGAAGGCTTAATTTAATAGTAACTGTTCACAATGGAAGACAAGGATAAAGTGATTTTAGTTTTACATTTTAATGTTGACTTAAGTATTGCATGTTATGTATGGTGATTTAGTGCAATATTAATACATACTGTATTTTGTGTAACTTTTTAGGAAAGACAGAAAAATGGCACTGATCCAGATGGCCTCAGTTGATGAAGCCATCACAGCCCTCATAGTGAGTATCATCTCTATATAATGAAAACAATATAAACAATGTACTGAAAGATATTTAGTAGCTTGTCTCCAGACTAAACATACAAACAGACATTTACTATGTTCGTTTCTGTTGAACTTCCTCCAAAACAAGCTATGTCTATTTGAAAATGTAGCACTTAGGAACCAAAATAAACAATACGAAAAAAAATTTTGACAATGGATTAATGCTGTTATGATATGTCATAATCTACATGTTTATAAATTATGACTATTTTTTTTTTCAGGCTATGCACAACTACCCCCTGAGTGACACGAACCACCTTCGAGTCTCATTTTCCAAGTCCACCATTTAGTTTGTGAAGAGTGCAGCAATTCATGACATTATTAAACATTGTTAAGAATGGCCTCCCCTTATAGGGGGCTCTGGTGGTATATGTGAAGTGCCTTTAAGTGGTAATGGCATTGGAGTTTTTACAGATGCCATGTTGAATGTGCAATGATCTCACATTTACCATATTCGTCCAGTGTGGTATAAGGTGGTCACTGGGACTGGGGATCAGTCTAACTGACCATTCTGTATACCACACTGGACCCCCAGGGGTCGAATTTTGTTCAGTTTCAATTTTTAATAGTTGATTTATTTTTTATTGTTGAAATTGTTGGTCAACTGTTTGATATGTTTATGACCAGGCACTTCAGTATTTTTCAATGTCCCACACAAGAAATCCATTTATATATATATGAAAGCCTGGTCTTCATTGGTGCTGATTTCAGCATTCATATCAACTCTATCATCAGCTTTAACCTACCAAAGGACAGACTGATGTGTCCAAACATTCAGGGGAACCGAATCATTCAATTTACTGTCAGTTACCATAGCAATACAACATGGCGGGGGGTAAACTGCTGTCACTGACACAAACAGGATCTGAGGGATATATGGGAACAAAGTCATTTTTTTGTACTATGTTGATGTTTTGTAGCTTTTTTATCAAGAAGGAGATGTTTTTATTTATTTTACTGCTGGTTTCTGATTTTTTTGAGAGCCACAGTTCCGAGATGTTACAGATCAACTGTTAAGATATTACGACATTTTTGTAATAAAACGAATCAAAATTAGCCTGTGTTGTCATTGCAGCTAGAATCCTTCTCTGATTTTCTCTGTCTGTTTTTGTTTTCTTTGTCATCACCATAGTACTTTGTATATTTGTGCATTAAACTTGACACTTAATCTTCCATTCTGTCTTTTTCTCTTCTGTTCCTATGTGCACTGCTCTCCAACTGACCTCTGACCTTTGTCTTTGACCTTTATCTCGTCAGTCTTGACCTCTGACATCTTCTCTTGTACTTGGTATAATTAATTTAAATATATGAAGGTGAAAATGAATCATAGATTGATGATGCCCCATCCTGTGTCATGAAGTTACTGTATGTGTACATAATTTGGCGTATACAAAGTTTAGCACAATCAATGGATATAGTTGGCTGCTCTATATTCTATTTATAAATGAATTCTTAGCAGTATTTATGAATTAGCGCATCCTCGTCTGCACCAAAGCCGCTAAAATATGAAGCCAGCTATTTTAAGTACAAATACAGTATATAAAAAGAACAAGGTTTTGTTCTAGATAGTGATATAAAAATTGAATAATGAGGATTTAAAAGTATGTGTTCAAATTTTAATATCTATTTAATGTTTGTTACTGGCCTTTTTTTATACCATATTCCATAGTGCTTGAAAGTTTTTCCAAACCCTAGAAATTCTTTAGAAGAAAAAATATAGACTAGGATCATGAAATTGATAGGTTGCCTTGTGGACAGAAAGTAAATAAAGTCAGATAAAAACAGAATTTAAGAAAGTAGGTACTTATGATTGGTCATCTTCTAAATTACATTACAAAAACATAATTACTAATTGTACTCAAAGGCCTTTAGATATAGATCAGGGCCCTGTTTTACAAAGGAACTTGAGACCAAAGTATGTTTGCGAATAATTATTCTGAAATTCATTATTATAAATTATTTAAAAATCTTATAAGTCTTTAGTGAGCATTTTATAAATAATAAATATCAATAAGGTGTAAGAAGTAAGAGGCAAGAAACGATTTAGTTTTGGTCTTAGTCCTTTTGTAAAACGGGTCCCAGTTCTTCCAACAACCTGTTTGAATCCTAATGGGAACTGATTGTTCTCTTTTATTACAGCACCCCTGTTTCAATATTCCTATATGCAGAATGTTCTCGAGAACCTCTGCATGAAAGAAGAAAACACTCGCTGTGGCCATCAACTCGACATACAGTTGATAACGAAATAGGACACACTATAAAGCAAAGCATACAGACAATCCACTACATTGGCAGACATACAGAGAACTCAGAAATACAGTTATTGATGAAATTCGAAAATCCCGTGAAAAATATAACAAGAAAATATCCTCAATGATTGATAAATCAATCCCCCCTGGAAAATGGTGGAGAATTGTCAAGTCAATATCAAAACTAAATAAAAATTATGAACCAATACCACCACTTAAATCGAAAGGTAAACTTATCTTCCATCCAGTTGAGAAGGCTACAGTCCTTAATAAATATTTTGCACAAGTTTCATCTATTACAGATGAACCAGACATTCCCCTTCATGGTCCTGGTCCACCATTACAAAATACAGACACTTTATCTGAAATATTTATCACTGAAAATGAAGTTTACGATCAATTATGTATCATTGACAGCAGTAAACCACCTGGTCCTGATGGTATTTCCCCAAGAATTTTGAAAGAAATAGCTAGCACAATTAAAACCCCTCTAACAAAACTCTTTAATAGATCACTAATTGAAAAAAAGTTGCCAGATATTTGGAAACTATCATAGATTACACCCGTTTTTAAAAAAATGGTAGTGCTCAAGAAGTATCAAATTATAGACCAATATCCCTAACAAGTGTCTCATGTAAAATAATGGAAAAAATTTTGTTTAAACAATTGCATAATTTTATGAAAGATAATAATGTAATTTACAAATATCAGGGTTTCAACCTGGAGACTCAACTGTGAACCAACTAGTAGAAATATACAACACTATAATTTCAAGTCTTGACAAAGGAAAAGATGTCAGATTTATTTTTTTTGATATCTCAAAAGCATTTGATAAAGTTTGGTATAAAGGTCTCTTATCTAAACTAAAAAATTATGGTATTAATGGCAACATATTAGGCTGGCTTGAGAATTATTTGTGTGATAGACAACAAAAAGTTGTAATTGATGGCTTTTCATCAAACCATGAGACAGTAAACGCTGGTGTTCCCCACAGGGTTCTGTTTATATATACCTTTTCTCTTTCTCCTATACCTGATTTCAGCATTCATATCAACTCTATCATCAGCTTTAACCTACCAAAGGACATATTTGTGATGATTTAGCAAACAATATACGTCTTTTTGCTGATGACACCTCTTTATATGCTATTGTAGAAAAAGAAGCCACAAATGTAGCACAGTCGCTTACTAGTGATCTAGATCTAATTGATAAATGGTAAAAAAAAATGGCTTGTTGATTTTAATCCAAACAAAACTATAAAATATAAAATATTCGCCTATTACATTTGGTCACAGGGCTCCCACTGGACCGAAAATATTTTTTCGCGACAAAAAAAGACATACTTACATCTGATTTCTCGACAATGCAATGCACTTCATGTTATTCATTTTTTAAAATTATGTTTATCACAGACATTGTTTTAAAATTGTAATGTTTAAAGCTTATGGTAGTATCCATTTAAAAAAAGAAAAAAAACTAATGTTAGAATTTTTTTTTGCCTTGAAAGGGGGGGGGCTACAGACCTAGTAAAAATATATGACATTTTTTTTTTAAATGGACATTTTCATCATTTCATTAATTAAGAAAAATAAGAAAAGCAATGAAAATTAGGTTTAAAAGTTGACTTTATTTTAATAACTTGGTAAACAGGGTTTAATATGCACGCTCATGTAATTATAAATAATTCCCTGTAATTTACTAAGATAATTCTGTTTCCAAACCAATTTCTTTTTCACTCTTTGTCAGTTTATGGTATAATGTACACATTTTTCAATAGGTAAAATTTGAAGCCATTCTTTACAATTTTCGTCATGTTTCCCTACTTTCAGTTTAAAAAACGATCTACATAGATCCAGATTTTGTTGATAAAAATCTTTTATTTACTAACTTCATGTCCTAATAAAACTTTATCCCCTTTTGTTTAATCCAAATTATATTATTTCAAGCAATTTTGTAACCCTTTATTGCTCCAGGCTAGTTACCTAGTCAGCTGTGTTCGTTCAAGTGAGACGTGATTTCCTACATGTAGGGGTTTCAGTTTTCACACCTCTGCTGCATTAAATAAACAAAGGGACTTATCTGTATACATTGAATAAACAAAGGTACTAACCAGGACTACACAAATTTTGTACGTGATACATCTAAAAAATATTTTCGCCACTTATGAATTTCTTTTCGCCACTTTTGGAAAAAATTCGCAATTGGCGACAATGGCGAATCACAGCTCGAGCCCTGGGTCATCATGGCCCATCCATTATTCAAAATGCATCTCATACCCACCTCGGATTACATTTTCAAAGTGATGCTACCTGGACATCGCATATACAATTAATTCATGAAAAAGCTACAAAACGACTAAATATCCTCAGAATGCTTAAGGATAAATAACACAAACAAACTTTTTTTGGAAATCAGCAATATTTCTCATAGATTTACATTTCAATTGGTAACCATGGTAACCTGAATAATGTTTAACAAGTATAGTTGGAAAATTTTAAAAGATTTTGTCATAAGGTTAAAAAATTGTGCAAAATTTTGTATAGAATTATATAGGAAGCAAAACAAAGTCTCATATCTAAGTACGAAGGAAATCCTACGATTTCTTTATATTTCAGGGATTTGTTATTTAGGTCATTTTAAATCAGAATCAATAAAAAAATATATATCAATCCATGCATCGAATTTTTGTTTGTGTTAAGTACCCTTAAGTATAAGGTGAAAAGGAAAATACTTATTAAGATATATTTTGCATTTATTAGACCTGTTTTAGAATATTCTGATGTTGTTTGGGACAATTGTTCTGAAAAAGATGCAAAACTTTTAGAAGATATCCAAGTTGAAGCAGGTAGAATCATTACTTGCTTAAGATCAAATTCCTCTAGATCAAAATTGTATGATGAATTAGGGTGGGATCTTTTACAAACTAGGAGGAATATTCATAAATTGCTACTATTATATAAAATCATAAATGGCTATTCACCTAAATATTTAAAGGACTTGATTGAACCTTTTCGTCCTACAAACCACCCCTATAATCTTAGAAATAATGATGCAGAATTCAAAATTCCTTCTATTAGAACTACATCATATATGGAAAGTTTCTTCCCATCAACTATTAAACTATGGAATGACTTGCCTGATTATATCAGAAATGCTCCTGGAATATCTTCATTTAAAGGTCTTTTAAATTCTTATTTTTGTAAAAAAAAAAAAGGTAAAGAAATTTATCATTTTGGAATAAGAAAGTACAATATAATACATTGTCAATTGCGAAATAATGCAAGTAATTTAAAGGCAGACTTATATAACCAATTTTTATCAGAAACACCAATGTGTGAATACTGTATTGACTCTGTTGAAGATGCTCATCATTATTTTTTTGCTTGTCCAAAATATAACTCTCCAAGAAATGTACTTTTCCAAACAATTCAAAATATTATTGATTGTGATCAAACTCATGAACTTGATTTACTTTTGTATGGTAGTCCCAATCATGGACTAGGTATTAATACTCAAATATTTGAAGCAGTACATGCTTTCATCGCAGCAACCAAACGTTTTATTTGAAACTGTCATGTATGTTACTTATGCCAACGCTTTCTAACCGGTACATGTATTTCATTGTAATTTTTTTTTCTTTTTTTTCTCTCTTTCTACATTTTTTTTCTTTTGTTTTTTTTTTGTTACTATGTTTGTCTATTTATTTTCATATCTATATATATTGTGTGTTCATTTTGACCTTGTAGGGAAAGGGCTAAAATAGGCTTTGCCTGCTGCCCAATCCCATTCACTTATGTGAATAAAATTTTGTATAAATAAAAAAACTCGACATACAGATATATCAAAGATATCATTAACAATAGTGTCGTGTTCATATGTCAACTCAGCATATATCCCAAATATTCCCAATGAATTCAAAATGAAAGACACACTGAGACTACCACGTCTGTTTTATATTTGGATGTTATACTAGTATAGAGATAAGGGCCAAAACTAAACTGTATGACAAAATATTTAAATTTCCAAAGTCTTAGTCCGAGAATAAAATTACAAATAGTAAAAATACTTTATTTTTACATTAATTTACTGATTCATCGATAGGCGGTAGTCTAAAGAAATTCACGTGCTGGGCGAGACAAATAGAGAGAAGCGGGGCTTGTGGCACATGAATTTGCGGATTCAAGAGCATGTAACTATAAGGGGTAACTCGGATTTTTTGGTTTCATGAAGATGGTCAATCGCTTGGCATACGTGATAATTTTCGGCGATTATGCAAATTATCACACAAGCCACTCAATTGATCACATCTTGAAACCAAAAAATTAAAAAAATTAGTTATTCCGTAACAAAATGGCCAGATTTTCCATCGTCAACTTTCCTTAATTAAATAGTAATGGTGTTCCATTATTTACTTGTATAGGGTATTAATGTTTCTAATCTATCCGATACTGAAAAGCCCGTTATTTATTTATTTATACACTGACTTATGCACTGAATTGACGACGAATCTTTACGTTATTTCCCGATCATGGCAAGGAGCAGACGGTGGGTGTGATGCTCGGCAGGGGATGCTCACTCTTTCATGGCACCTGATCCCACCTCTGATGTTTTGAAGGTCTGTGTTTGCTCTGCTCCTATTTTGTATTGTTTTATGGATTTTCTTTCATCTTGAATACTGTTCGTTATCTCCATTTGTTTCATTGGATATCGTCTCCTTTCCTCCCAAGGATATGGAGATAACGAACAGTTTTCAATATCGAAGTCTATAAAACAATACAAAATAGGAGCAGAGCAAACACGGACCTCTGAAACATAACATCAGTGGTGGGATCAGGTGCCATGGAGGAGTGAGCATCCCACTGCCGACTGGTCATACCCGCCGTGTGCTCCTTGTCCTGATCGGGAAATAACGGAAAAATCCGTCGTCAATTCAGTGTCAATAATGGACTAACAATTATTATGAAAAACGTCAGTCTGCATTTCACTCAATGATAAATTGTGTTTGCTGGCAAGGTCATTGTTTCGATCATAGAACTTACGAAATGATTACTTTATACGAGACTGCTGATATTCTTGTTTCATCAAGTTAATTGTCAATAATTGACCTCGTTTTAGAAATTGTTCATACGTAGAGCATGCTCTTGCGTATCGAATCAACTGAGATATATACACTCCGTATGCAGGCAATGAAGGTATATTGCTGCATAAGTAAGATAAGTTGACGATAGAAAAGTTAAAGTCATCACGTTTATCATATAGTTTGGTTGTTAGATTACCATTAACGTCTGTTTCAAGTAAAAAAAATATCCAAGTATGAAGCAGTTGTGTCAGATCTGTGGTATCTTTTATCTCAAGCTCACCAGGATATATTGTATCGACGTAGGAATGGAAAAGACCATTGTTATTTGACAATACATCGTCGATACATCTAAATGTCTAGTTGAAGGCCACAGTAAGTGTTTTCTTCTTTTCACGCATAAGATTTTGCACAAATTCTGCTTCACATGAATACAAAGATAGGTCTGTTTATAATGGAGCGCAATTGGACCCCCATAGAAATTCCAATAGATTGGAATAAACTGAATAAAGTGAAAAGCCAATAAACTAAGTACATAGTTATAATGAGGAAGAGTGTCTCTTCCCAAAAATCTATGTCCCAAAGGTCAGGGGTCTGGTGATAGGACGGGTCCTTCCGTCCGTCTATTACAGTTTGGGGTGCCCATCTCTTATCCGCAACTCCTGTCATACTACTGAATGAAATTTGATGAAACTTTCCTTTTTGATGCGACATATATTTTGGTTTTCCCATAGAAAAACATGGACACTGCCATTATATTCATTTTTTTTCTTATTTTTATTTTAGAGTTACTTCCTTTTGCCCGTTCGAGTTGATTACACGTATGAACGAAACATGTATTTTGCCATTCTAATCATGGGAGGCAGCGGTGAGCTCAGTGCTCACAATACCTCTATAGTCAATTTACAAGATCTATCCATATATTGGTTGATTCATATAAATGTTCTTTCCGATTATTCTTTCTTTGATGCACTTAAAGAGTTCATCGGTTTTTGAGAAAATATCTCTGTTTTGGTTGATTAACGTAAAGACCCTCAGTTTTATAGTTGATTCAGGAAGATTCAATTAATTGTTGATGGATTCACATCAAGTTCCATTTGTTTATAAATATTTTTTTAAATGCGTCTATTTTTGGTCGATTCAGATAGGATGTTTCTTTTCGTTTATATGCTACTAAGGGACCTGATAAGTATATACCGCGTATTCCAAAAACCCGTTTCTTCAATATCTGAAGGTTATCATTTAGTTCTCAACAAGCGCAACCTTTTAGTTTGTAAAATGTAAGGGATTGTGAAAACGTAATGTTTGATAAACCATGGATATTTCTATCATCTAGCTTGCATCTAGAACGAATGGCGTCTTGAGCGTTCTTTGATGGACAGCAATGTCTTTCTATATTCTCTTGCTTGCCAGTCGGAAAGAGGCTCAGCCATTAATCGTCTTGTTCTCTCTAAGATAGACACACCAACATTGTCAATACGAGAACTGTATTCAGGAAATCTGATCTTAACCTGAATATTTACCCCACTGTCTAAAAGAATTCGAATAATTCTTAGTTTGTTCACATAATCCGCTGTCACTAGTTTACTCATCAACAGTTTGTCAAGAGGTACCATGTGTCTTTTAGAAGTAATAATTCGCATCCAGGAACTTTGCTCATGTTCATGTTTTATATTATTTTTTTTCATTTCAATAAACTTGAAAATACGCCATGGCAAAACCAAGCATTTATCATTCTTATGAATTTGGTCATCTTTGGAAAAATTATTTCTTTTTAAGCATCTATTTTCCCTGATGAGTTCAAATAATTGCTTGTTTGTTGCAAGTCTGCAGTATTTATGTCCTTTCCTGATAATTGTTGTTAGTAAGTCGAATTGTTTTGTCCAAATCGCCAGTAATGCCGCGGAGACCCCATCACAGTCCTCCAAAAATATATCCGCCCCAGCTTTATACAGCAGAGAGGCAATATCAGAATGCCCAATGTAGATAGCCATATAGATGGGTGATCTACTGAAAGAATCACATATGTTGCAGTCAACACCGCCTCGTAGAAGAGTTTCAACGACCGGTTCTTGAGACTCTCGTATTGCATTCATCAGAGGTGAACCGTATCTTCCATCTGATACGTCTATTTCAGCACCTGCCTCGATCAGCAATCTTGCAACTTTTTTATGGCCATACCAACATGCCACTGTCAGTGGTGTGCAGAGCCGAGAAGTACCACGTACATATCCTATGAGTTGTGGCGTTTGATTTATACAGTTTCGGGGAACAAATTGAAGTATGTACTTCACTGTTTCGACACAACCTCCAGAAGACCCAAGCACTAAAAACCAGAGAGGACCCACCGCTACTTCCGATGTTCGCCGGCCATTAGGACCCAATGATATCTCAGAGTGAAATTTCCCAGGAGAGACTGATTGCATTCTGAATTAAAAAGATCACTAATGGATCCCTCCTCCCGAGCAACTCTTTCTCTTAAATACCGCAAGATTCGAAAATGACCAAAGTACACTACCCAATTTATTACTCTTATATTGTACTTCATATGAATATCCGGCAATGTATTGAATTTTACAATACGTTCATCATTCAAAAGTCTTGCACCGGTGAAACTTCCTACACGAATTCCTGTTTGTCTTGGAAAGAAATTTCTCGCGGACTCAGTAATTTACCTAAATCAGTTTGCTTTGCTAGAAAGACACTTTTTATTTCTTGATATGTTTTTTGCTGCAGTAAAGTAGTAAACGCTTCCGCAACCTGTGCATTTTTCAGTGTCTTACAAGAGAAAACATCGTAAAGTTCAAGACTTTTGATTTCTTTATAGAACCTTTTCGCCAGAGCAGGTATCATATCAGAATGTAGAAGAACGCGCCACTCTTTATCGAGTGTCTCCTTTGTTCCTATTTCATTTTCCTTCATACATAATTTGCAAGCTTGTTCCGTACCTTTGAAGTTGCCAGGGAGATGATTTGGCTGTTTAGGTTTCCCTGGACAAATAGCTACTTTTGCCATTAAGTATCCACATGACAAGAATTGCAGTATATGTTCTGGAAAAGATTTTCCATAGCTATATGCAACTACTTCAAAGATGGAGTAGTGGATGAATTTGAAATAATCAGTTGATTTCGTTGTATATGTTCCCTCCATTCGACGAAGAGCTTTTTCAATTTGATCATGGTCCGTACTTACGGCAATGTCACAGTTCTTAAAGATTATTTTTCTGCTAGACTGTGGTAAAGTCTGTGCATTATCTAGTATTTGTCGAGACAGTCTGTTATTGCAAAGCATGCACAGAACAAGTGCACAATACTGCAAACCGTTGTGAAGCTTCATTTTTTCTATTTCAGAAAAAAGACACTTTAGTGGCCTTTTAAAAAAGGAGATTCCCAATTGCTGTATTCTGTTGTCTGTTGAATATAGCTTACAAAGAAAGGGAAACATAGGCGACGTTTTCGAAAGAGCTTCAGTCGGAAATGGAGTTATGTTATGTTTGATGAGCATCTTTATTTTATCGTCTGCTGTTAATGAATTCTCCTCATCGTCCAGATTGATGACATTGCTGTCTGTTGTAATGAAAGACTTCATACAGAGTAACTCATTGAACACGGATAGTCTGCAAGTGGTTAGCACCATAGTTTTAGAATTGTGAGGATTTTTAATTATTTTTTCATAATCTATCAATTCGTGAAATTTGTTCTTTTGCATTCCAAAGATCCCTACTACATCATCCACGACAAATACCTGTGCCTTTTGAACGTTGTAATACACATATATTTCTCTAATCTCTGTCACAGGGACAAGCTCATATCCCCTCCTCTGAAGTTTTAGTGCTATGTGTCGAGCTGTCGCCGACTTTCCGGAACCGGGTATACCAGTAAGCACTGTAAAGGGAATGGAAGTAACTTTCTTCCACACATTGGGGAAATTGTGGTTCTCGTGGAACATCGCGTCTTCTACCTCCCAATTTTGTATTTCGATTTCTTGCAAGACTGAAACAGAGAAATTATCTTTAAACAATTTTAAAAAAGTTGTGAGTCTTGCAAATCATTTAAAATCGGTTTGGTGATCTGATTAGAAAATGAATACCCTTTGTAATTACCTCTAACATTGTGTGATATTGACTGCATATTTTTCTTCATTTGTTCTGTAAGTGAAAGGCAAAAAAATCATGCAAGATTTTTAAAATAAATGTTCTACTCTCTTAATTAACAATGCTTAATGTATATATGTCTTACTTTCTAGCCTTTCTACTATCTCTCTTGTCATCTGATCTTCGATCGCTTGTTTTTGTAACTGGTCATGAAAGCTTTTTGAGAGTGTAGGATCCATTGTTTCGTGACGAAGGAAGTCGACCTCCAATTCATATTTTCTAGAATTATTAAGGTACCCGTCAAGTTCAATGACTATATCTTTGATTTTTGACCAGATTAAGGTAAATTCCGTGTTTGACAGAGCAGTGGCTGTAGAATGAGCACATTCATTTCTATAAATACGAATCCACTCAATGTTTGCAGATAAGGATTTGTCACTGGGATGTGGATCGTTTCCCCAGGAATTTGTATGTGGTGGAATCGATGAAATTTTCCGAAGAAGAATGTACAATAAAGAGATATCAAAATCTGTGTAATTCCCTGTGTAAGTTCCCGTACTCGGTAAAATAATATTTCTCTGGGCAACCGTTAGACGAGGTAGGTTTTTGATGCACATTTTTATCGTAAAGGAAAAGTTATGAGGCGCTACTCGGTTTTGGTCTTGAAGTTGGTGAGTACATGGCCCCAGAATCAGACGACAGACTCTGTTTCTGTTGGTTGTTTCTTCCGTCGAAGCGTAAAGAGAAACAGCCATTATCTTTTTAAAAAAAATAGAAATGTAATGATATAATACTATAGTCATGTTCTTTAACATGTCTTTTAGACAAAAACTCTTGATTAAAATTCATATCAAACACTTAAATTGAGTTTTTTATCCTTGTTTTTAATTTACTTTACTTAGATACATTACCATGTATAAGATTGATGTAGTAATTAATTGTAGTTTTAATCTCATTTGAAAATGTTCATAATATGAGCATTTCGGCTTGGTTTTGTTTGAATATGAATGTCATTGAAACTGTCGTTCTGAAAGGTGCTGCCCATCCAGCCCTCTCTCCATGCCTTCGTAAGTTTACATTCAGTTGACAAAATTGTGCACTGAATTTCTTGACAAGAAAAGAAGAGGCCATCTTACATTATTTTTGAGTGTTTAAAGACCTGAGCTAGACCCCAACCCTGCGCGTTCCTCCGGGGTCTGATGTTCATCTTGTAAAGTACAAAAATGATTAATATAGGTAAAAATAAATAACAAATCCTACCTTTTTTTAATGATATTCCATGAATATTCAAGGCATTTATCTTTCAATGCTGGGTGGCTTTTCTTTTATATTCCGTGCTGACGTGTATATTTGGGTATACAGTATCTATATTTGAAATGTGTTCTCAGTAAAAGGCTATACACGTGATTTCGTTGAAACTGTGTATTGATTTTGATAACATGCTGCATTACAGGGTTAGGAGAGTGATTTTGAGAGGTACAGTGTGTACACATTGTGTGTCACATTCTTGCTACCTTTATCATACCTTAGATATGAAGTTTTCTATGAAGAAACAATGACTTCCTTTAACATTAAAACTATTTATCCAGTAGATAACATTTGACGGCCTGGTGAACTGGTGTATTGATAAACTTAGGATTGAAGGTTGACCTATCCTCTTTCTTTTAATTGGGAAAAGGTCTGTATGTTAGAAAAAATAATGGCTGGAAACTTCTTCTAACTGAGGTAACATCAAATAGATCAAATTAACACCGAAAACAGCATGTATATAACACATATGGAAGTCCTCCGTCCATCCTTTCAGGTCCTCACCTTCAAAACCAAACAAAGGATATTAATAAACAAATAAGAAAATCGTAATTAGTGGGGAGTGCATGTTTGAGAAAAGTTTCATCATATCCTTCAGATTTGTCAGCCTGGTAAAAGGTCAGAACGACCAGTGTTGATCAAAGTGACATTGTGAAAGGAGAGGCCCCTGGCTTTCTGATAAGCGTGTGAAATAAACATAATGGTTACGTAGACAAAGACGATCATTTAAGAAAAAAATACGGACTCCCTATACACGCATTCAACACCGAGGATGAGGTTTCTAATCTGCTTTGTCACTTTGTTTGCATTTGCGAGTAAGTTATAAACTAGAACTATTTCTTTCTTTCAGACTGCTTTTATGAAGAACGCATCGTGATTTGCCCACTATAAAATACATAACTTAATGTAGAACGCGCTGTGTGCTGCCGACTATGAGCTATACCTTATTTTTCCTATTTCAGACTGCTTTAATGTAGAGCGCGCTGCCAGTTGTCCATTGTTTTGTCCTATGAATTACGCTCCATTGTGTGGTACAGACGGCAAAACCTACAGTAACGAGTGTGAACTACATGTCTCCAACTGCCTGTATGTAACTGTTTTTTAATCAGTTTTTATGTCTCCATCCTACCCTAGGGGGTTATGATTTGAACAAGTTTGGATGTCCACTCCACTACTTGAAAGTATTACCATATTAATATGAATTATCACGGATTTGCTTTTTTGAGAAGTTTTTTAAGAGATTCTTCTTGTGTATCCCTATGCAAAACTCATCATGACTGAAACGAACTTGAAACTACACTTCCCGCAGATGCTTCCATATGCCTTTTTAGTTCTTGAGAACAAGGTTTTATTCTTAGTATTTCTTTGTAAAAATTTTGATCACCAATTTCTGTCCCACCGTACGTCCAGGGGTCAATTTTCAGTACACGATAATGATTCCAAATAATGATTCATTATACCTCCGGTGATTTAAACAAACGTGAACTGACCTTCACACGGATGCTTCTATATAAATATTATTAATTATGCTTCCTTCCCACTGTGGGACGTGGAGACGAGTCCTTCGGATGAGACCGTATAAACAGAGGTCCCGTGTCTCAGTAGGTGCTGGCACGAAAAATATCCCTCATTGCTCAAAGTCCTGAGTGACGTATATAGGACAAATCGGCAAGTGCCAGCGTCTCCATATGAGTGAAAAATTCTTAAGGAAGTTAAACAACATACAATTAATCATCAATTATGCTTTCTAATGAGGAGACGGATTTAAAAGATTTTTCTCTATTTTTTTCCATCGTAAAATCTTGAAACCCTATCTGTTGTGGTATCGCCCTACCCCGAAGTAAACCACTTTTCTTCATATTTAGAAAGAGAAGCATCTACAGGTAGTGTAAGTTTATCAAATCATGACACGGGGCTATGAAGGGAAATATAAACATTGTTTGTTTGTTTGTTTTTTACATATGCACATTTATATTCCAGACACAAAACACAAGTCACTAAAGATTACAATGGTATGTGTGGTGGCGATGCTCTTCAACCAGTAGCCGTGTCACGCTGATTTATAATTAAATCGGCATTATACTGCTGAAAAAATGTGTGTTTGTCTTTTCAGTGAAACATAAGGGAATAACAAACAGAACTCAAGATCAAAAGTCCATAAAAAATACAAAATAGAAGGATAACAAACTCAGACCTCCAAAACATCAGAGGTGGGATCAGGTGCCATGGAGGAGTGAGCATCCCCTGCCGACCAGTCACATCCGCCGTGTACTCCTTATCGGCAAATAACGGAAAAATCCGTTTAAATAAGACTGCTGATATTCTAGTTTCATCAACTTGTTTGTCAATAATTTACCTCGTTTTAGAAATTGTTAATACGTAGAGCATGCTCTTGCGTATGGAATCAGCTGAGATATACAAACTCCTTATTCAGGTGATGAAGGTATATTACTGTAAGGGAAGTTGATGATTGTACAACTGTGAAGTTAGAGACATAAAGTTTATCATAGAACTTGGTTGTTAGATTTCCATTAACGTCTTAATATTTTTCAAGTAAAATATCCAAATATAGGACAGATGTGTCAGACTCTGTGGTATCTTTTATTACAAACTCATTGGGATATATCGTATCGACTGTATATCTAAATGTTGAGATGAAGGACAAGGCAAGTTTTTTCTTCTTTTCGCGCAAAAGATTTTTGTGCCAATTCTCCTTCATATGAGTACAGAAATAGGTCTGCTAATAAAGGGCGCAATAAGTACCCGGCATGGGAATTCCAATAGATTGTAGGAAGACCTAGTCTCCAAAATCTACATATATATTTTAATTAAAAACTCAAGCATCTTTTTAATGTCAACTTCATTAAAAACTCAATTAATAGGTACACATCTTTTGTAACAATTAACAAGTACACTGGAACTTGAAAAAACAGAAAAACAAAGCAAAACAAATCAGCTCAATATTTACTAAAGAATAAAAGGGAAGTGTCCACTACATCACTCAATATCAAAGAACATCAGCACTTACTATGTATTATATTAATGACTGCATTGATTATATGCCTTTGGTTCTACTTCTTGCGGCTTATAAAAAAAGAGAATCGTAAAATTTACAATTTTCTTTACACAACCGCTTCATACTATTATAACAAAACCAAAGAGTATTTTTATTCAAGAAACCAAATATACCTTTTAAAAATTCGACAGGAAAGTCCATACGCTTAACATATCTAAAGTACGCTCGTTATAAGCTAAAAGGCAGAGCTCCATTAATTTAAGTGTGAAATCACAAGACCGTCTCGGATTTTGAGTGTTTTATAACTCGAGACAGTGTATGTTTTATCTTAGCTCTATTTTCCCACATCATTTCATCTAGAGAAAGCCCTTCGACAATTTTCACATTGTGCTACAAACACACTATCAATGTTCAGTCAATAAGCAGTCATTCTTGTTCATCAGATATCACAATTAACTTTAACATTTTTTCAATTGGTTGAGGATTCCAATTTCCTTTTAATGACCAACTCTTGAATATAAGTTTGGTATTAAACTTGTATTTAGTGCTTATATATACGATATAGAAGACTTCAGAAAATGTATCATGAAATCCACTAGTATCATTGCCATAATGTGTTTTTCACTATGGTCCATACGAAGGCCCAGTCTCCCCTCAAAGACAACAACTCTACAGGGCTGGACCTTAACTCAATAAACACCGAAAACGTTGACATTGTTAGACAACTTCTGAACCAAGAAACTATCATTAGGATGACCTTAGTGAAAAATGTCCATACTTTAATGAAAGACATGCTGAGCTTACAGGAAAAACTCGCTGAGGCTGAAGTTGAAATCTCCTCCCTGAAGAAATCGACTGATAGCGAACTTACCGATTTGAAAAACGAAGTGATGCTGCTGAAACTCGAAAATGGTATGCTGAGAAATATAATAAATGTTCACGAACAAGAGCTTGAAAATTTGAATATTAAGCTTGAAAACGTTTCGAATACACTGGCAGACATTAAAATCGAGGTAAGGTTTTCGTCGCTGACACTTCTAAATCTAAACACACGTACAGTTGATGTGGAAAATGAAAAAGAGAAAGTGGCCAGATCTGTAGAAAACGTGTAGAATTACCAGACATAGACCAAAAGAAATCAGCTGCAATCTCCAAACTCAAAGAAGATAACGATTTATTATCTGGTAAGTATTCTAGCTTTTTAAATAGTTAGGTCATTTTAGGAAATATTAAGTGAAAACTATTTTTATGCGCCCGAATTGATAGATCCGGGACGTACATTGTTTTGTCCTGTCTGTCTGTTTGTTTGTTTGCAAACTTTAATCTTTGCCATAACTTTTGAACCATGAAAAATAGAGACTTCAAATTTGATATGCATACTCCACTAATTTAGCTCTTTTAAATTTCACTTAGGTCAATGACCTTGAAACCTTTACTATTACCTATATGCTAAAAATAGCTTTTTATCCGCAAACCTTAACCTTCGCAATAACTTTTGAACAATGAAAGTTAGAAACTTTACATTTGGTATACATACACGACTAATTAAGCTCTTTCAAATCACACAAAGGTCAATGACCTTGTGACCTTTGACTGTGACCAATATGCAAAAAATAGTTTTTTGTACCTTTTCCATAACTTTTGAGCCCTAAAAGATAGAGAATGCATATTTAGTATGCATACTCCAGTAATTAATCTCTTTCAAATGACACCATGGTCAATGACCTTGTGACCTTGATTATAACATATATGCTAAAATAGCTTTTTAAAAAGTTTGTTGCCGCCGGGCGCATAGTGTTTTACAAACACATCTTATTTACACTTTTTTCATGTTTTAGTGAATGTGAACAGCTCGATGGACAATTTAAAGTCTGCCCTGAGGTTGTCAGAGACGGAGCAGTTAAAGTTGTCTGCCGCTGTATCGTCCTTGGAACTGTTGAGAGTGAACTTAACCAACCATGATCATGGTACTCATTCTTTAAAAACACGTACTGCTGATTAGGATTTAGATCCACCTTATCTATGACCTAATCAATTATCACCATAAAACCCTCTAACACAAAGATTTATTGCATTTTCATGTTTCTATTTCTTAGATAAAGCTACGAAATTCGCATTTACTGCGGGTGTTACCTCAAGCAACAAAACTTGGAGAAGTGGAGTTATGGTTTTCGATAAAGTCATCTTTAGCATTCGAAGCGGATATAACCCAAGTACGGGAGTTTTTACGGCCCCGATAGAAGGAAACTATGTCTTTTATGTCAGTGCTGTGGAGTTTTCTAACCGTTATCTCGGAGTCTTTATCGATAAAAATGGAAAACATCAGGTACAATTAATTGGCGATTCTAGTGCTCAATTCCAGACGGGGACAAACATGGTGATATTAAGTCTAAACCGGGGATATGCAGTGTGGGTCAATTACAAAAGTGGTAGCGGTTATTATAGTGAATTCGAATCAATTCCTGTTACAACCTTTTCTGGATTCCTCATTTAAAGTACATTATTTCTATCGGCAATTCATTATTATATTTGGAGACATATTTGTCTTCTTCAGTTTTTATTTACATTTATTTAGAGCTACTTGTATTTGCGATTTGATTATAAATATTGTTAGTTTTAAAGGCCATGCCATAAGAGATCTTTGTGTCATGTGTTTAGCGGCGGGTGTGACCAGTCGGCAAGGGATGCTCGATCACTCCTCCAAAGCATCTGATTCTACCTCTAATTTTTGGAGGTGTGCTTTTGCTCTGCTCCTATATTGTAGTTTTATAGAATTGTTCGTTATCTCTATAAACCGGTATTTCATCTGGTTAGCATTAAGTTGCTGTGAATCAACTGGAGTCAAAATTCCGTAAACAATACAAAATAGGAGCAGAGCAAACACGGACTTCCAAAACCTCAGAGGTCGGATAAGGTGTCATGGAGGAGTGAGCATCCCCTGCTAACCGGTCACACCCGCCGTGTGCTTCTTGTCATGATTGGGAAATAACGGAAATATCTGTCAACAATTCAGTATATAAATAATGGACTAACAATTGGTATGAAAAACGTCAGTCAGCATTTGACTCAATGATAAACTGTATTTGCTGACAATGGCATTGTATCGACCATAAATATTACGAAATGGTGACTTTAAACGAGACTGCTGAAATTCTTGTTTCATCAACTTGATTGTCAACATTTTAAATCGTTTAAGAAATTGTTCATGCAATATTCACCGAGCCTGAATATTGTACTCCTCAGATGGCTATCCAAAATAAATACATGTATGGTAGTTTAAATTCATTGTGTTTTTTTGAAATATTATACAATTATTGCTGCTTTTGAGGTCAATACAATGATTTAGCCATCTGAGGAGTACAATATTCGGGCTCGGTGAATATTGTACTTCGAAGATGGCTAAATCATTGTATTGACCTCAAAAACAGCAATAATTGTTTTATTGTATGATTCACTGATAAAATGATGCAGCTCATTACTTGTTTGTATTTGATTAAGTCCTTGCCAAATACAAGAGAGAAGCAGAACTAAAACGTAAGAACACCTTACCAGTCGTATCAATTTGAAATGTTTTTTTTTTCATCTATTTTAGCTGCCATGAACAAAATAATATATTGTCAATCTTTTTATTGGATAGATTTTGAAAGGAAGGAGTATTTATTATCAGGGAAAACTGACTGCCAAAAAGTAAAAAAAAAAAAAAACATGTTGTTCAGTAAAAGTGTTGGACGTGGGTCCCTGCATCCCCTCTTACCATTTTCACCCTAAAATATATATTCGCTTATGTTTTTTTTTTACATAAAAAAATCATAGTCGTAGAAATAGCTTTTTAACAATTTGTATCAATTTGGAATTTCCCAATCTATTTTTAGATCAATGGACAGGAAATAAATCCTTGTATTGACCTGGAACATCACGTATAATTATATACTGTGGTGGAAAGATGAATGAAACATAAGAAATAGAATGATGATTAAAAACAACTTTTTAAAGCAGATAATTCTTTTTTTGTTACACATCTAATTTTAAAGAAAGGGAAACAATTCTTACCAAAATTTAAGGTCATAGATTAGGACACATTACACCCTTAAACATGTATGCTAATAGTAATAAAAGAGAGTTACGTTGAAATGAATTAGGTATCTAACAGTAACACATCTTTAATATATTCAAAATCACAAACCTATAACATACTCCAGACTCTATATTCTCAGATATTTAACTAATTTCAACATTCAAAGTTGTTGTACTTTGACCAATCCATTGTCATTTACACACAAGTTTGTCCATTACCCACCAACTTATCTGAACTAGTTTGCATGTGTGACTGATCGTATAAGAAGCATTGTTTAAGGAAGTTCTCAAGTAACATAAACCAACTAAAAGGCCCATAAAAGTATTCCTTTGCTTGCTTTTTCTCATACATTACAACCTGTTTCAGAGTACATAACCCTCAAAATCCAACTGCCCAAAATTTAATGTAGAGTATCTAATATTGTAGTTATGTACCAAAACACAAAAATCAACAGATTGATGTTGAGTCAGCATCACAAAATTCCTTAATTTTTCATAATCATAAAAACTCTCAAATGATTATTTACTCAGGGACTTTAAAAACGCCTATTAAGATTGCTTTTATTGTCATTGGTACATTATGTTACATGTGGTAGGAAGTTTATTAAAAATCATATTTCCATAGAATCTCTTCATTTCCAATACAATCAACGAATTTGTTAACCGAATTTTTTTCAAGGCAAACAGTTAAAATCACACTCTCAACATTTTTTCTCGTTTTGATTAGTAACGTGTATGACCACCATTTGAAACTTCAAATGCTCTCAAGCGGAGCCTCTAGGATTGGCATACAGCTCGAATTCGTCTAATAGGAATGTTAGAGCCTTTGCTAATTCTGGCTCGCTTGTGGGTTGGCGTTGACGTCTTCTTAACCGTCTTCTAAGCTCGCCCATTCGTATTCGATTGGATTAAGGTCGGGAGACCGAGCTTTGAATTCCAAGATGTTACCTGTATTTGTGTTTTAAACGTCGTTTATCGATGATATGGATACATGCCAAAATGCTTCAAACAAAATACATGGGCAAAATATTAGAATATCAAAATTGTAAATTTGTTTCACAAGACATTTTCATAAAGGCGTTTTTAAAGTCTCTGAGTATATTATGCCATTTTGTATTGGATAGGATTATATATAAGTCACATAATTGATAAGGCACATGTTATATCATGATTACTCAGATAAGATTTACAAAGCAGTCTTTTGGACAGGTATACCCCAATATTAGTAATATCAAGTTTTACCACAATGCTTGGCAAAATTCAAAAATAAAAACATGCAAAGAATCATGCTCTTTTTAAATGAATTATACATCTCAAGTTAATTTGTATAAATACGATTCCTTTTAGCATAAAGGAAACTAAGAATTGTGTGTATCACACTGTGAGTCAGCATACAATGACCTAGCTTGAGTTAATCAAACCTGCAGATGGCAAAACATTAATTTCCGCATTAATATAACAGTATATAAAATTCCATATGCTCAACAATCTCAAGTGAAAATAACAAAGGCATATACTAATCTAGGCCAGTTAGATTCGTTTAAGTTAGGATCTTCCTTGATAACCAAATTTACTAGGGTTAATGTTAAGGGTCTAACTTGATATAAATTACTAGTACCATTTTTCAGAGATAAAACTATTATCTTTGAGGCATTTTTAAATACTTATAACTCTTGTTTTTGTTTGAAGAGGGATATGGAAATAACGAACAGTATTCAATTTCAACGTCCATTAAACAAATATACAAAATAAGAGCAGAGCAAACACGGACCTCCGAAACATCAGAGGTGGGATCAGGTGCCATGGAGGAGTGAGCATCCCCTGCCGACCGGTCACACCCGCCGTGTGCTCGTTGTCATAATCAGGAAATAACGGAAAAAATCCGTGGTCAATTCAGTGTATAAATAATGGACTAACAATTGGTATGAAAAACGTCAGTCAGCATTTTATGCAATGATAAATTGTATTTGCTGACAAGGTCATTGTATCGACCATAGAATTTCCGAAATGATGACTTTAAACGAGACTGTTGATATTCTTGTTTCATCAACTTGCTTGTCAATAATTTACCTCGTTTAAGAAATTGTTCATACGTAGAGCATGCTCTTGCGTATCGAATCAACTGAGATATATATACTCCGTATGCAGGTGATGAAGGTATATTGATGCATAAGTAAGGAAAGTTGACAATAGAAAAGTTAAAGTCATCACGTTTATCATATAGCTTGGTTGTTAGATTACCATTAGTGTCTTTTTCAAGTAAAATATCCAAGTATGAAGCAGAAGTGTCGGACTCTGTGGTATCTTTTATCTCAAGCTCACCAGGATAAATCGTGTCGACGTAGGAATGGAAATTATCATTATTAATTGACAATACGTCGTCGATATATCTAAATGTCGAGTTGAAGGCCACAGCAAGTGTTTTCTTCTTTTCACGCAAAAGATTTTGCATAAATTCTGCTTCATATGAATATAAAAATAAGTCTGCTAATAACGGAGCGCAATTTGTACCCATGGGAATTCCAATAGATTGTTGGAATACCTGGTCTCCAAAAACCACATAGATATTGTCAATCAGAAACTCAAGCATCTTCTTGATGTCAACTTCAGAGTACTTATGTGTGCAATCAGAGTCTGTTTTAACAAAATGCTTCTTCAAATGACCAATGACGAGGTAAGTAAACTTACGAGTTCCATTTTTGTTGAAGAAGCAGCTGTCAATGATATCAAAAAGCCTGGATTTTAATTTGTCTTGGGGAATTGTTGTGTATAAAGTTGAAAAGTCGTAAGTTTTTATGCTGTTGATATTTGTAAAGTCTTGTGATTTCAAATTGTCCAAAAGTTCTTTAGAATTTTTAAGTATCCACATCTGATTTACACCACTTCTTGAATATATAGTTGTACAGTACTCTTGAAGTTTTTCCTTCATTACTGTCAATATTTTAGTGAGAAGTAACGAAAGAGGCTTGGTTGAACATTTACTGGAACCTGCAATGTATCTTTGTTTGTAAGGATTCTTATGAAGTTTCGGAATCCAATATATATAAGGTAGTTCAAATTCATTTTGGCTCTGTGGAATATTAAAAGTATTCAAAACTGACAGGTGATTTTGAAGAATTTCTTCCTTAGAAAGAGAAGTATATGTATAAGTAGGATTACCACTTGTAGAATTAAATCCAAGTTCTTCTAGAATGCAATTTATATAATGAGCCTTACAAACGAAGACAATGTTGTTACCTGCTTTGTCGGCAGGAACCAGTACGTATTGATCGTGTAATCTATCTAATTCTTTTTTCACTTCTGGTTTATTGAACACTGAGTTAAGTGCCCTTTTGACAAGATGTAATTTAAATTCAAAATATACGGTACCTTAATTCAAAGGTTTATAGGTGAGGTTGAATGGGAAGTTTGGTTCAACCCCTTTTTAACAGAACTTGCGGGCAGGTTTAGAGAGTATTGAATAGTTTATAAAATATATTTGTCATTGTTTGTAGAATATAATATTAAATCTCGCCCACCTCAATACGTAATATCGCGAATACCAATGAGTACCTCGCAGTTATCTGACTTACTACCGCTCTTTTGCGGGGGAGTTGAGAAGGGTCTTTTTTTTAAATTTCTGGGGCAAATGACATTGTTAAGAGTAGTGAAGATCGAATGATTCGAACAATTTAATGCCGAAAGCACATTGTTTTAACATATATTGAACTCCAAATAGTAGATTTCAAATAAGGAAAGTTTAGAATGTTTTATCTGCTTTAAAATGTTTTTCAATGAAAATTAATTAAACGAGAGAAGTCTGCTTAGTTGAAAATATCGTTAAAAATGTAACAATTTAGGATTGGCTCCTCTCAAAAATTTATGAGGCTAGTTCAGCAATTGTTCAGCAAGGTATTCAACCAGAATTTTTTAACTCATCTGTCCTTATAAATTCTACAATGATCGATCTTACATTGTATTCAATGGCACTTTGCCCCAACCTAACAGAAGTTTCCTACCTCCATTGCGGAAGAGTTCTGCTAAATTAAGTAATCGCGATATTAAGTATTTCGAAGCAACTTGGGGGGGGGGTGCATTATGACACTCATTGTTATTGTTAAAAGTTGTTAAAAGAAGCTTAGAACCTTATGCTAAGAGATGACAGTATCGTTTTCCTTTTCCAATTTTGGTATGCCATTTCGGTTTGTTTCAGTACAAAACCCTGTAAGACAACATAAGCAACACCTGCAAAGACAGTTATATCTTTTCTAAGTTTTTTATTACTTTGTCACGCAAGGAAACTTGGTGAGAGTTGTTTTAATGATTTAAAAGCCATAAAAAAAGTGTCATCCTTTTAGGTAAGTTATACAAGTAACAATGGAAAAATACAGTGTCGGTAAGTATCAACAATGTTTAGAGAAAATTGATGTTGTTTTATACGGTCAAGTCCTTGACTCCGTTTGCAAAACTTGTTTAATCACTTATGCTGTAAATTTTTATAGCGAATGAGCAGGCCCTGGTCGACGGTGACCATTTGCGTTGAGGTAATGCCGCCGTCACCATGGTTCTTGGCACCTCATAGGTGGCGGTTGCAGTTCCATGATTACTCGTAGCAAACAACGAGTATTCATGGCCCTTGCAAGTGGCGTATTCCGTCGCAACTCAACGCAATTGGATGAGTGCAACACATATTATTATACTCATTCCATTGTTTATTGACTTGATTGATATTTGAATTGATTGATTGATTAATAATTGATTGATTGACAAGTAATTGACTTGATTTATATTTGAATTGATTGATTGACTATTGATTAATTATAATTGATTGATTGAATTTGATTGATTTTGCATTGGTGACGTTCATGCACTTGTGACCTACCTAGTGCATGATCCGCCCGATTTGGGTCGTCACATTTATTGTATTGATTGTTGATTGTGGGGCAGCCCTGTGGTAGCCCCAGCAAATTGATCACCGCGGCCAGAAGCGCTACCTTTAACAAGCAAAATAACATCCATATTGTGCAATTTTTATTGCGATCCAAGACCCCCGGAGAGGGTACAAAACTGTAAACAATATAAGAAAACAGATTGTACAATATAAACCTTACTGATGTACATGACAAATTTGATTATGATCAACAAATTTTCAAATAAATGCTAGTACTTTTAAGAATGTACAGTATATTTATAGCAAAACATGACCTAAATTCTATGAAATAATTTCCAGGTTTGTTTACATTATGTTCGAGCAATAGAATTTCTAATATAAGGTTTTAAACAGTAAAAAATTACAATATTCATAATAACAGAGGTAATTTATATAGATACACTTACTCTGTGCAGGGCCAAAACTCCTAAATTCTATAACAAGTTGAGGTACATGTTTACAGCAGCATGCTTTTAACGTTTTCTTTACGATCTACAAACTTCCGGTTACATTAAAATTAAAGTATACAAAAACGGAATGAAAAATTCCGGATTGAGCGTCACCACACTCCCCTCCTAGTGCATTTCTAACTGAAGGCACTACACATAACCAAAATAATGAATAATCATGTTCCTATCCTGACAAATGTTTGATATATAAAACATCCTATCAATCTGATTAGACAATCTCAATATGATTAAACAAGTAATACATAGAGTCAATCTTGTATCAATGGAACAAGTTCACATATTGGACGGACGAAGTATCTTCTGTCCTTAGCGACACGAATCTCTACAGTACGCACACGGTTATCATCACTCGGAAACACTTTCTCCACCACAGCTACAGGCCACTCATTCCGCGCCACCTCATGGTCCTTTAACAACACGATATCCCCTTCTTTAAAGTTACGTTCTGTTTGTGTCCATTTGCGTTTACTCTGTAAGTTCGACAGGTACTGCTCTCGCCATTTCTTCCAGAATTCTTGTGATAAAACAACCACATGTTTCCACTGAGACCGATATGCTTCTCGAAGATCCAACTCTGGTAAGTCTTTTGGCAGGGTACTGCTATCCATTTTCTGTGTAAGCAAAATGTTAGGGGTCAATACAGATGAGTCCTCAGGATCAGTCGAAACCGCAACTGAAGGTCCTGAGTTAACAACTGAGCAGACCTCGGCCATAAATGTAGTAAGAACTTCATTGGTGATTCCTTTAGATTCTGTGCGTAACAACATGCTGTCCAAAATTCTCCTTGTAACTCCAATCATCCTCTCCCATACCCCTCCAAAATGGGAGGCATGGGGAGGGTTGAAAATCCATACAGCCTGGTTCCTAGTCAGAAAGTTTTGGATAGGGGCATCTTCCACAAATACGGAGTCCATACCAATCTCGTTCACTGCCCCGACAAAATTAGTTCCACGATCCGATCTGAATTGACGTACAGGGCCACGGATGGATATGAAGCGCTTGAGTGCATTAATAAAGGAACTACTGCTTAGCTCCTCTATCACTTCAATGTGAATGGCACGACAAACAAGACAGGTGAATAGTATTGCCCATCTTTTTTGGTTAGCCTGTCCTCCTCTCGTACGTCTTGCTACCACATTCCACGGGCCGAAAGTGTCTACCCCAACAAAGGTAAAGGGTGGAGATGGTGTGATTCTGTCCTCAGGAAGATCAGCCATAATTTGTGTCCCGAATCTTCCCCTCAGCTTTCTACATATAACACAAGAATGGATAAGCGATGTGACCTTCCGCTTACAACCGATAATCCAGTACCCAGCTGTACGAATCTTCCCCTCAGTGATATGACGTCCCTGATGGTGGACTCTCTCATGAAAATGATGAATAATTAGACCAGCAATGTAACTATTTTTTGGTATTATCACTGGATGAACTTCTAAACAGGTAGATTTCCTCCCTTGTCGTAATCTTCCACCAACTCTCATGATGCCATTCGAGTCCAGTATTGGAGACAGTGAGATGATAGAACTTGTCCTGTGCAGTTCTCTCCCCTCCTTAAGAGCACTAACCTCACTAGGAAAGCATGCCTGTTGAACTTGCTGTATAACAAACAACTCGGCTTGAGTAAGTTCGTCTGTTGTTACAGGTGTCACAAGTGATTCTCGAGCTTCTAAAGATTTTCTGTATGATTTGGCTAGACGTTTAATCCTAGCTATAGCTCGTACAAGGCTCCGCCAAGTGGAAAATCTTTCAAATCGATGAACACCTAAAACTGTCTCTTGTGTAGCAGAAGTCATCTTTGTAACTATAACAGGTCTGACTTCTTTATCTTCTTCTGGGTCTAACAGCTCATATGAAGTTTCTCTGTGTTCTAGTGGATGTTCACTCCTTAAAACTGAAGGTCCTTGAATCCATGCACTTTGTTCAATTTCATTAGCAGGAATAGACCTCGTACCTATATCAGCAGGGTTGTCCTCAGATGACACATAGGTCCACTGGTCTGATGTTGTAGAATGACGAATCAGGTCAACACGGTTTCCAACATACACATAAAAGCGTTTATGTTCATTGTTTATATACCCGAGTACAACTCGGCTGTCTGTATACATTGTAATAGAGTCAATGGGTACAGTTAAGTGTTGTGTTATGGTGTCTTTGAGCCTTGTGGCTAGTACGGCTGCGCACAATTCTAGCCTAGGAATAGTGTGGCCCTGTGAGGGAGCCACTCTTGCCTTTCCGTGAACGAAGCTGACATGATGACCTCCACTGACATCATATATCTTCAAATAAGCTACCGCACTGATCGCCTTCTGCGAAGCATCAGAAAAGACATGAAGTTCCCTACGCTGTACTTCAGATGAAGGTAAGTTGACATAACATCTAGGTATGAGGATGGACTGTAAGTCAGCAAGGGATTCCACCCAGTTGTGCCATTTTGCCTGGAATGCATGAGGAATAGGTTCGTCCCAATCTGTCACAGATGACATTACGTCCTGCATGATTAGTTTGCCACGAATGGTAACTGGCGCCACAATTCCAATCGGATCATATAGACCATTAATAGTTGCCAGAACACCTGTTTTGGTGAATGGCCTGCGGGTAAAAGTCACTTGAAATGTAAATGAGTCTTTGGAAATATCCCAGCTGACCCCCAAACTTCTCTGTAGTGGTGCTTCACTTAAGTCTAGTTCAATGCCTGTGACTTCTTTGGCTAGGTCCTCTTGAGGGAAGGCTTTGATCACATCCAGACTGTTCGACGTAATTTTGTGTAAACGAATATTTCCCTCTTTCTTAAGAGTTGTCTGAGTGCGGGACAATAGGTTGACAGCTTCATCACTGCCGTCAAAGGACATTAAGCCGTCGTCCACATAAAAATTTCGGTACACAAAGCTCTTCACATCTTCCTCTGCGTCACTTACACATTTTCGCAGTCCACAAGTTGCAACAGCAGGCGACGGGCTGTTTCCGAACACATGTCTGGTCATTCTGTATTCAATCATGTCTTGGGTTGGGTCATTGTCTTTATACCACATGAATCTTAAATAATCCCTGTGTTTTTCTGGAACAGAAAAGCGATAGAACATTTGTTCTATGTCCGCAGTTATTGCAACGGGATGTTGCCGGAATCTTAGTAGTATGCCTAAGAGTGAGTTCACGAGATCTGGTCCTGTTAGTAACACATCATTAAGACTGATCCCTTCGTATTTAGCTGAAGAGTCAAAGACACAAATCACACTTCCCGGCTTCTTGGGGTGATACACAGAGAATAAGGGCAGGTACCAGCATTCAGTATTTGAGTCTAGTTCTTGAGCCGGTTCCGCATGTCCGTTTTCTAATATTTTCTTCATGAAGCCAATAACATGATCCATCTTTTCTGGATTTTTCCTTAGATTCATGTCCAGTGAATGGGCTCTTCTAAGGGCCTGAGGTTTGTTATTTGGTAGATGCTGACGATTCCTTCGGAAAGGAAGGGGCGCTGTCCAAGATCCATCAGGACCTTTGTACATTTCTGTTTCCATGAGATTCAAGAAGTCTTTATCTTCTATTGAAAGTCCAGGAATATTATCCTCTTTTGTCCTCGAGAAAACACAACTATCCTCAACGTGAATGTTGTTATAGCATGGCTCAAGAAGAGTAGTTCTACCATCCTTCAAGGTGAAGGTCTTCATTACTGAGATAGAGTCTTGCTGATGAGCTGTGCCTAGACACACATTTCCAATGATGACCCAGCCCAACCGTAACCTTTGTGCGAATGGCGCATGTGTAGGTCCTAAACATTGTTCTAAGACATGATGAGCCGGTAATAGATCCCTTCCGATGAGTAGTAATATCTCAGCATTTTCCTGGATAGGAGGGATGAACTTAGCAATGTCTTTCAAATGACTAAATTGTTCTGCCACTAATGGAGATGGTATCTCATCCCGAATGTTCGGTATTTGGTCACACTCTATGAGCATGGGCAGATCCATCTTACAGCCTGAGTCAAAAGATTCTATGGTGAAGTCTGAACATCGTCTACCAAACTCTGTTGTGTTCCCATTGCAAGATGATAGCGAGTATGGAATCTCGGGTCCTGAGATAGCAAAGAGGTTAAAGAATGCTGACCTTGCTAGAGAGCGGTTGCTCTGTTCATCTACAATGGCGTATGTAAGAACAGCTTCTTCTGGACATTCTCTGGGGTATACTTTCACTAATACAGTCTTAGCACAAGACTTGCTTGCACCTCTTCTTCCACAAACCATGGAGCAGGCTGATATCACTTCTTCTGTTGTAGTCTTAGCAAGATAGTTCTTGTTACAGTCTTGATCACTGTTAGTAGGCTTGTCTATATGTAAAGCTGTTGGGTGATTGGTTGCCTTACACACACTACACATCACAGTTGAGCGACAAGTGTTGTCAAATCGGTTGAAAATCAGAATCGATTAATCGGTAGCATCGGTTCACCCTAACCAACTGATCATCGGCCAATAATCGAATCGGTAACCCTTTGCATAAAATAAGCATTAGATTTTATAAAATTTAGAATTTTATTTTTAAATAATGTAAGTAAAGGTGCATTGTACAGGTCGAAATTGTGAAAACAGTAGTTTGATTAACAATTTCAGTAAAACAGACTTTTGAATGATTAGGATTTACTTGGCCTGGGAAGAGTAGGCATTGACAGATCAGGTTTTAATTTACATGATCATCTAAAATGTATATATATATATATATATATATATATATATATATATATATATATATATATATATATATATATATATATATATACATATATGTGCTGAAATATACCGATTAATCGATTGTTAAAATCTCCAATCGATTGTCTAAAATCGACAGCCTTTCCGACCGATCATCGATTATCGATTATAAATCGATCATCATGACAACACCATGAGCGACAGTCCTTAGCTAGGTGACTCCTCTGACCACAGCACTTGAAACAAAGTCCTCTACTTTTTAAGAAGTCCAGTCGATCCTGTAACGATTTTTTCTCGAAACTGGTGACACTTGTTTAAACTGTGGTTTGTTTTATGTAAGGGACATATAGTCACAGCCGATGTCTTGGTTACTGACACAGAGTTCGAGACTGGCACATCCACCTTCTTGACAAAGACAGAATGTGATGAAGTCGGAGGTTTCGGTTTACATGGTCTTGTGTCTTCATAAGCGAAGGACGGGTCATTTTTCACTCTTGCCATCTTTTCCAGAAATTGTGCAAATATGTGGAATGGTGGAAAGGCCAGGTTGTGTTGCTCTTTGTATCTGCTTGCCTCATTGGTCCACTTTTCCTGTAACTGATAAGAAAGTTTATTGACAATTAAGTTAACTCCAGCTGAAGAGTCATATGAAGCAAAGAGACTACAATACTGTTCATCTTTCTTTAAAGAATCAATTTCCACCGCGATGTCCACAAGTTCATAAAGTTTTTTCACTTCCTTGCTTGTGATTTTTGGAAAAGACATCAGTTTCTGTTTGATAGAGGATTCGACTAATTCTGGCCTTGCGTAACGTTCATTCAATCTCTGCCAGATCCTGTCTCTTGCTCGAGAAGAATCGCTGTAGTTGGCTGACCGGATACTCATAGCTGATTTCTTTGACTCGGGTCCTAAATACTGAATAAGTAGGTCAACTTCTTCTGCTGGTCTTAGATTCAGTTCTTTTACTACACTCACAAACGTTGTTTTCCATGAGCCAAAGAATTCTGGTCTGTCGTCGAATTCATGAATCCTTTTCAAAAGCATGTCCTTCTTCACCATGAATTTAGAGAATTCTTCACACATATTTCCTTGTCTTGGAATGAATGGAGGAGATTCCGCGTTTAACATGTTTAATGGTGTAACTCGAGTTGCATAATGGTCACTGTCATAAGCAGGTTCTTGAGTTCCGAGTGGCGAGCTACATGAACGTGACATCTGATTTTGTTCTTCAACGTACTGCTTTACACGGGACTCTCGAATGTCTGTTAATTCATTCTCATCAGGCTCCTCCTCTTCTTCACTTGATGCCAAGTCAATGCATTCATTTAAAGCATTTAATCCTTGAGTGCACTCCTCATATTGTCTTTCCTTGTCCAGAATAGACATCTTAGCTTCCAGTGCGGCCTTTTCCTTCAATAATTCTGCTTCTTGCTTTGCGTATTTCAATTTGACACGAGCTTCTTCAACCTTGGTTTTCTGTTTAAGGTATAATGAACTTACACTGGTCAGATTTGATAGTTTGGATAACTTTGAGCGCTTAGATTTTACACTTCGCCTGTCTTTGTATTTTTCTACTTTCCTTTCATAAGTCTGTTCCGCCTTTTCTGCAAGTGCTTGCTGCTGTTCCATTTCCGTATAAGGTTTCTTCTCTGCCATTATGATAAAGCTTGGCGCCAAGATTTTGTACTGTGCAATTTTTATTGCGATCCAAGACCCCCGGAGAGGGTACAAAACTGTAAACAATATAAGAAAACAGATTGTACAATATAAACCTTACTGATGTACATGACAAATTCGATTATGATCAACAAATTTTCAAATAAATGCTAGTACTTTTAAGAATGTACAGTATATTTATAGCAAAACATGACCTAAATTCTATGAAATAATTTCCAGGTTTGTTTACATTATGTTCGAGCAATAGAATTTCTAATATAAGGTTTTAAACAGTAAAAAATTACAATATTCATAATAACAGAGGTAATTTATATAGATACACTTACTCTGTGCAGGGCCAAAACTCCTAAATTCTATAACAAGTTGAGGTACATGTTTAAGGTATCACACCGGTAATTGTTTTCACTATATAATTCTATATAGAATAAAAAATCGTTAAAAATCAGGTATTTGTTTACAAGAAAAAATATTTAGCAGGAGGTGTTAAACATTACCTGTCACATTAGCTGACACCAAAAAACAGGGTACCCACACGGCATTTTCGGACTTTTTCCATCTGCAAACAGGGCTACCCTCAAATCCACGTGTTTTCACTGTGTTTATAAACACCTCGAGCGCACTACAGGAAGTAGCCTCCTATGCCATGAAAAAAATAGTTCCTGTCCAAAACCTTTCTTTATTCACAAAGTACATAAAATTTACTAGGCACAGGTACCAAAGTTGTAAAAATGGCATGGAAGAAAATAGAAAAACGCCTCAAAAGAAAAGAAAATTAATTCTATATATATGGACCTACATTTGACTAAGTTCATTTTGATTGGTCAATTACCGGTGTGATACCTTGAAGGACCTTTGAAGATGTTCGATTTTTTCCATTTTTGCACCTGAGATTCATTAAATAATTGTCCCCAACATCCCTAAGTCTGGTGATCTAAATCCCCTTTTTTCTGAAGATATGAAGCATTTATCTCCCTTACTCCAGAGCAGTCAAAAACAACACACAGAGCACTCTGGAAGCAGTTTTTTGTGCATCTTTTGAAGCAGAATTTCATCATTAAAAGAATAAGCTTGGCAACCAATTTTTTATCTGTGGAGAGTATATGCTTTGTTCTTCACCACAAACAGAAAAGAGTTTACAAGTCTAAGACCATTATGTAATTATTACATAACAAAGTTGCATTTTCCCCTTCAAAGAATGAACAAAAATACAGAAATTGTTAAATACTGGGTTGATAATGAAAACTGTATCTGGTCAATTTATGTTCCAAATAAAGCCTAGGTATGAGTCTACAAGCTGCTGTGCAGAAGTTTATCTAAATGCTGTGTTGTAACTCAGGGCAGTCAAAATGATATCAGCATCTAGGGAGGTTCTTCACAGCTCCCACACTCCATTAAACTGGCTTTGATGATAAGAAACTAGGGACAACAATTCAGATGTAATTTATTGTTGTGATTTATGCAACTGGCTTTCTCTTAAGACACAAATTAGCCATGAAATTTCAATTTAACATGCATAATTATTCTCTTTTCATGGATTTACTCAGGAATTCCAAAGGTGTTTAATGAATTTCCATGATTTATGCAAGATTATATCTTTTTGTTTCAACAAATTTACATAACGTAGTGGAGTAGGCTGTGACGTCATAGCTACATGCTTTTAACGTTTTCTTTACGATCTACAAACTTCCGGTTACATTAAAATTAAAGTATACAAAAACGGAATGAAAATTTCAGGATTGAGCGTCACCACACATATTGTTTGTTTAATTTATAGGGAATCCGAAATAAATGTTTTTAGTATAATCCATTCTCTAAATGTTCACAATAAATGATTTGACAACAGATTTCAGAATAGATGTAGCTTTAAGTTTAGATCCAGGGGTGTATCATCTACTTGCAGAAAAGTCAATCGCATCATCTCGGGTCTTTTCGTCAGAGGTCGAAAAACAAACTCGAATGTATCTACATCATCGGATTTTAAAAAATTATACATTTCCTGTTCATGGTAAAACGGAGTTAGAAGTCCCTTCTATAGTATATTTTAAATAATATCATTACATTGAATAATGTTAACTCCATATTCCACAGATATTAGGTCTACATACATCATTCATGCTTTTATTTCAAAGTTTGTGAAAGGGGGGGGGGGTCATAGCGTATAAATTAACAAAACATTTGTGGTCTTCTTCCCTAGATAAGGCCCAAGGAGTGGGACTGAGGAGTTGCGATTGGCAGAAAACCCACACACATTAACCATTCTGTTAACAACTCTTCAGAATGCAGCAAAGGCATCGTTTTTCTATAAGTTGAATAATTAAAAATTTTTATAAGTGGTTCTCAAATAAAAAGACATATTTCAAACACAAAAAAGTATTGCTCAAAAGGTTTATCACTTCTCTTACAGATATTTATTGATTAAGTCAGGCAAGCTTTTTGAAAAGCTGTTACTTGTACTACTGCTAGAGTTCTTGTGTTACAAACAAACAAACGTAGTGGAGACAAGGTCTGTTCTTTTTGAACTACGAATATTAATGAACTTTTATTCCTATATTTTCCCTTAACCAAGGAGAGTTATATCTTGGGAGATTCTTGGTAATTGTCAACAGATGTTTGGAACCCTATGAAGGCTATTTATTCGTATCAGCAAGCACTTCTAGGAGTACCCCGAATACCATGGTAAATGGCCCAAATATAAACTGCTACAATAGTCAGAATCATTATAGCTATATACAATATCTTAGGGATTTATGACATGTAAATGCATGACTTTTGCGATAAGCACAGACTTTTACAAATGACAAAGGACTCTTAAGGACGTTCGATCCTGTGTTTTTGATTAGATTATTTTCTAGACCTTTATTTTCTAAAATTCTGCATCGTTTTTAAGTTTTAACTTTAAATTTAGATTATTGCAAATTAAACTATATCCATTACAAAAACCGCAATTAAATTCCATATAAGTAGGGTTAAGCCAGGGACCATATTTTGTGTCGGGA